TACACAATTACGAAACACTGATGTGATGATACTCTTATGTACCAGTGAGAATCCTACATCAACAGATATGTAGCTGGAGCTCCACAGAGTATCAGTTGACATAAATATCTTAAACCCTTCATACCCTACATTAAAACTAGACAAACTGGAATCACTGGGCTGTGAATTTGGGAATTGTAATAATAAAACTGAATATTGCAGAGTTAAGTTACTGCACCAAATGTTCATTACAATATCACTTCTAGAAACTGAGAAAACCCTAAGCCTAACACTTAATACTATTTCATGATTTTGTTTGTCCGTTGTTTAGTGCCACACTCAGCAGTATTCCAGCACCTTGTCCATAAGTAATTGAGTTCAGACCAGACAATTCAGTGATTGACACCATGAGCACGGATCTACACAATTTGGTTGCAATGACATGTGTCAACCAAGTGATTATGTCTGAGCACCTGATCCTGTTATTCGCTCTTATGACAAGCATGGGTTGCTGAAGATAAATTCTAACCCGGATCTTCACAGGTATACTGATATAAATGTATGACTAGGTAAATACATCATGTAGTTCAAATGCAATTATCAGATTAGCTTATCACATCATGCAATACTGAAGAGAATACATACTTTTCTCTGTGGACGGCTGCCTCGGTGAACGGCTCCATCAGTCATCGTGCCAGACTTGGTTCCTTCATCCAGAGTCTGCAACAAAGCAGTGTCATCACATCACAAAATCTACAGTGTAAATCTTGCATTGACTTTTAGGAAACCTATGAATGTATTGTTTCTTGAAAAATTTAATTTCACGAAATTTGAATGTGATCTTTTACTGTCTACAGAACTATACATCAATCAAGCAATTGCAGAGAGAATTTAACAGTTTAACAATTTAATAGGGCAATATTTTTGTGTGTAGTAAGTTTGTATTAACGTGCCAGTAGGGGTAATTCAATTATGTCATTGCTTATCAAGTACAATGTTTGCATATGGTTGCGGTCTGTAAATAATCAAGTTTGAACCAGACAATCCAGTGATTAACATGGATATAGATATATTCTACAGTATTATAAACATGTTTTAAGCTAGTCCAGATATAATAGCTTCCAACCTCCAACTGTAACAGGGAGGCATAATACACTGTACTGTAATAGACTCTGTTTATATTGCTTTCTAAGATGCCTAGCCGGTTAGAACAATCGAAAAAAAATACATTATCAGACAATAAAGGTACAGTTTTTGATGGACGTAACAATTGAATGACATTATCCGTCACTTGCGCCATTCTAGTGTGCCCCTCGTGAATTGAACCATTTTACATTACGTCACAATGTAAGCTGGCGTCCACGCGATGCATGTCAGTTGTCATCGCCTATAAATGCGACCTCCTACAGTAAACTACGCCCGTTGCATCCAGCGTCCTCGTGCTTTAACTATAATAGTTCAGGGCAAAAGTGTGTTTTATTACACACTATACATGGTGGTAGAAGCCGGGCGTATTTCTTAAATACCAGTAGTTGAAGAGGAATACCATTTAATTGTCAATGTTTAAAAATGCATAAGATAGAATGTTTTCCACCTTACCTATATATTGGTAGTCCATGTAAAGATGGTCTTGTTAGACTTGTGTCATCTAAGGATGATGTTTTGATAAAGTATTGCTACTTTTTTTTTCTTTAGAAGGGGTATGTTATGCCTGTACATTGTGCAAAAATGGTTCCATAGCTTTCAGAGGCAATAATGTATGATTGTAGTATGGGTTGTTGTGTTGCAGGATGTTGTAGTGTGACATGCTGTGCTGACAGATGTAGTATGGGTTGTGTTGTAGGAAGTTGTAGTGACATGTTGTGTTGACACAGATGTTTTAGCATGGGTTGTTGTGTTGCAGGATGTTGTAGCTTGACATGTTGTGCTGGACATATTGCAGTATGGGTTGTGTTGCAGGATGTTGTAGTGTGATGCTGTATGATGCTGTAGTGTGACATGTTGTGTTGTAGGATGTTGTAGCATGGGCTTGCTGTGTTGCAGGATGTGCTGTAGTGCATGGCTTGTAGTTGGTGGGATGTTGTAGTGTGACATGTGTTGACAGATACTGTGGTATGGGTTGTTGTGTTGTAGGATGTTATACCACTTCCACCCGCGCAACATGAAGATGTATCGGTGCCTGACACCAGGATGCAGCCATCATGCCTGGTGTGGCTGACAAGTAAGTACATAAACATGAGCATGAATAAGCGTTGTGCTACCAGGACCATGGGGTTCGACTTCATTAAGGGTACAATGTGTGGAGCCCATATCTGGTGTCCCTGCCGCGATATTGCTGAATAATATTGCTAGTGGCGTGAAACTAAATTCACTCACTCACTGGGCTTGTGCCAATTCTGAAACCGACTATAGTCTGTTTTCAGTGAAAACGCACCGATTTAAATCACTTAAACAAAAGTAAATCAAATAAAGTGGAAATGAGACGAACTTATATTTCTGTTTCGCCAAATCAAAACATACAAATCCCCAGAATTTTATTCAACTTAGATGGTGTTGTTTAACAAACCATCATAGTTTCCAAATCACTATTATTGGTTTGTATTACAAGGTGTTTAGTATTGGAACAGTAAAAACAAAATGCATGTGCGTACGTGATGAGCGTAAGTAACTTAGACCAACCCTGCTTTTCAGTGTTTCATTTAATGTAAACCCTCTCTGTTTAACACAAACCAATCATAGCGATTTTTGAAACTATGATCATTTGTTCAACAACTTTTTATCCCAAGTTGAATAAAAATTCTGAGATTTAAATGTTCAGCTGACAAGGTAAAATTTATGAGGATTCGCAATCGCAATCGCACGCTTTCACTGCAAACAGACTATAGATGCAATGCTTCTCACTTGTACTAAGACAAGAGCAGCTTAGGGCAGCCCTAACCAATCTGCCACTAGGAAGAAAATTGGTTTTGCCTAGGGATTTGGATCACTCTGTGACACTTTTCAGAAACCATGTGGGTCTTTGGATCACAGGGATGTTTTATCATGTATCTGTTGATAACCCTGGTGTTGTTTTGACACATTAACTAATCATGTCAAGGTCAAGCTTAAGGTCATATATTCTGGTCATACTACAAAAGGATATTCTGAGGTTGATGAAATTGTTACATGTTCCTAACAAAGAGATCCTGAAAGGTCATGAGTAATCGCCATGAAAGTTCAAGGTCACAGTAAAGGTCACTTTTAAAGTATGTTGGCTAAAACTTTGTGAAGATGACATACGTAGTGGAACAGCAGCTTATATCCTGGTGAATTACCATGATGTTTGACTAGTTATGAAGAGTTTCATGGTGATCGTACTGAAGTATAATAGACCATTATTATGAAGTGAATATTTTCATTACCACAATGAATTCCACCTGGATGTTTATGTTTTACAGATAATGTGGTGTTACAGTGAATTAGTGCTTCGCGTTAGAGGTGTTCAGGGTTTATTCTCTGATATTTTCTTTTTGAACATGGGTACAGCAGGATTAAGAAATGTTATTGATGTTCCTTCTGTTCTTGATCATATTTACATTTTGTGTGAAGCATGCAAGTATGGACGGAAAGAATGTTCAGTGAACTGAATTATAACTTTCAGTACATTAAAGCTGATACATTCCAGTGGACCGGGATAGGCATACTGTACATTAATATGATGTCATCCCCAGCCGTGCCGGGCCGGGTGGGGTAGCCTAGTGGTTAAAGCGTTAGCCTGGTCTTCTTCATGCCAAAGACCCGGTTCAATCCCCACATGGGTACAATGTGAAGCCCATTTCTGGTGTCCCCCGGCCAGACATAATATTGCTGTAAAAGTGACGTGAAACTCACTCACTCACTCAGTTGCAAGTCTTAGGTGACATGACTGAAAAGACTTGTACATGATGTTACCTGATCTGTTAACCATTCTAAACAACATGTCTGTTAGCCATATTTTGTATCTTATGCAACAACAAAACCAAAAATTGTCTGGTGAATGTAAACAATTCCCTTGGAAAATAATTGACAACATCCTCACACAAGCTTTTCCCATGAGTGACCAAGGGACATAACTCATGCTGACCTCTGCACCAAAGTCCAGACATTAGATTTAAAGCCCAGAAAAAACCATTATATCCAGACTTCATAATGCTAAATGTGTTAGTAACAGTTGTCCCATTAATAATGGCAATGGTTTTGTGTATTCCAGAGCAGAGTGAGTTGTATGAAGCCTGTTATCCCATTAATAAAAGTTGGCAATGGTTTGATTGTATTAAAGGCAGAGTGAGTTGTACTGAAGCCCGATATCCAATTAATAATGGCAGTGGTTTTGTGTATTCAGGGCAGAGAGAGTTGTATGAAGCCTGATATTGCATTAATAATGGCAATGGTTTAGTGTATTCAGAACAATGGAAAAATACATTATCGATATCCCATTAATAATGGTATAGTTTTTGATGACGCAACAATTGTATGAAGCCCGTCCTCGTAATAATGGCAAATGGTTAACTGTAATCAGTTCAGGCAAAAGTGTGTTTTATTATGGCAATGGTTTTGTGGTTCAGCATAGAGTATGAAGCCTGTATATCTAATTAATAATGGCAATGGTTTTGTGTATTCAGCGCAGAGTGAGTTGTACGACGTCTGTTATACCATTAATATTGGCAGTGGTTTTGTGTATTCCAGAGCCGAGAGAGTTGTATAAAGCCTGATATCCCATAATCAGTGGCAATGGTTTTGTGTATTCAGAGCAGAGAGAGTTGTACGACGCCTGATATGGCATTAATAATGGCAATGGTTTTGTGTATTCAGAGCAGAGTGAGTTGTACGACGCCTGATATCCCATAATCAGTGGCAATGGTTTTGTGTATTCAGAGCAGAGTGAGTTGTATGACGCCTGATATCCCATAATCAGTGACAATGGTTTTGTGTATTCCAGAGCAGAGAGAGTTGTACGATGCCTGATATCCCATTAATAATGGCAATGGTTTTGTGTATTCCAGAGCAGAGAGAGTTGTACGACGCCTGTGGCAGGAAGTATTTGGAGGATTACGACTTGTCACTGGAATATTCATCATTTTCATCGTAGAAGCGCTGAAATTTGTCTTCCACCATGTGGTTCAGCCTATCATCATTGGTCTACTGACTGGTGTTGGGGACTCCTTACTGAAGCCACTGTTCTCTCTCACCTTCAGCCTCATCCTCCAACCAATCATTGTGTTCTTCTGGAACATCTTGACAGGTGTACGCCACCTGTCACAACCTGTGATCGACATTCTTCATGGAGTGCTAACGCCAATTGCAATGGTTTTACGCTCATTCCGTCTTTTTGACGTCACGTATCAAAATTCATTGAATCGACCCATTCGTAATGTGTAAAGGCAGCATTGACTGTACATTGTATTTGTCTCAAACAGAATGTACCGAATGCATTTTAATCTGGGTTTTGTTTGTATAGCAATACATCAAAAGAAATACTGACATGCAAGTATTAGGTACTTAATTTATTCGCGATGAACGATTTTATGTTCAAATTATGTGCATAATTATTTGCTTGTTATATTTGTTCAAATCCACTCTTAAATGTCCTCCAGCAATGCAATTTATATTAAAATATGTCTGTGGTTATATCAGTGTCGTACAATGGTTCTACTTTTAATAGATGCTACTCTCCCAAACAGGTGACAGAATCATTAAAGGGGATCTAGACATTGTGAAATTAGCTGTCCTAGCTAATCAGCTGATTTTTGTCGTTTTTGTTTTATTTGTTTTTAATCGTTTTTAACACAAATGGCTTATTTATAAACTGATATTATTTTGCATTATATAGATCTTCTTCTTGTTTGTCAAATGGCTACAGCAACAATAATATCCTGAAACAGCTGATTTGTTTCTCACAATTGTTTCAAGCTGTGATAAAGATGTTTGTTATATAAGGGAAAAAATGAGTTTGTACTGTTACCTGATGCATATATTTTTGACTGTCATATTGAGACATCACAAATTGATGTCTGACAATGCCGTCCATTTTACTGATTCATGTTTATGCTGCTTCAAAGTAGTGTTACAAAGTTTGGCAATAACCTGACCGGATCACTGCAGGATCTAGCATTACCTTAAACTATCGCAACACGGGGGGGTGGGTAACCTAGTGGTTAACGCGTCCACTTGTCACACCGAAGACTTAAGTTTGAGTCCCTGCATGAGTACAATGAAGACATCTTCTGGTGATTCTCGAGGAAAATTGGGTAAAATTCATCAGTTTGTTCACAACTGGGATTTATGAGTTATTTTTTTTAAATTCAGACCTATTCTATTTTTGCATTCACATTCACTAAAATAAAGAAAAACAAAGTATTCTTGTTGGGTTATGACTGATACAATGTTAAGTTGATGCAAGTGTCCTCTGTTGGTCATGTTGTCAATGATATACTTGTCATCTGTGCAAAATCCAAACATAGTTGTATCTATATTGACATGAATTGTGAATTTGGTGTTTCAAATTTAGTTATATTTACTGACATTTTCTGCAAACTTGATCCCACATATCAGCCTCTGAACATCTCTGGGCGGTGGGGTAGCCTAGTGGTTAAAGTGGTCGCTCATCATGCTGAAGGCCTGGGTTCGATTCCCCACATGGGCACAATGTGTGAAGCCCATTTCTGGTGTCCCTCGCCGTGATATTGCTGGAATATTGCTAAAAGCGGTGTAAAACTAGACACACTCACTTATTCTGAAATGATGTAGACAAATCCCACCGTAGGTTGCATCCCAATGTTCTGTTCCACCAGTCACAAATGTAACGCCAAACATCACTTTGAGATATGTGTCCAGGGCGTTTCCAAAATAATGAGGACATTTTGTAAGTGATTTGTTATTTCATTTTGATGTTTATAATCATAATTTGTAAATGATTTAATTTATTTGTCTCAAGTTGTTTTATTAATGTTATTTCATTACATGCATATTGAAATTGTTGATATTTAAGATCCCCAATCCTTTTAAGTAATTTCAGTACTTTATTATGCTCATGTTAAAACTGTTGTGTTTGGCAATATGTTAATGCATAATGTGTTAAATGAGAATATTTGCTCATTTTATTATTTTACATTGTTTGCGATTGTTTTTAATCTATCTGTCTGACGCATGGTATATGCATGATATGCAAAGTTTGTTTGGAATATTACCATCTGTGTAATCAGTAACTCAGTAAACATAAAACTACTGTGGGTATATATTGCAGTAGCTTTGATATGCAAGTACGCTCAAAGCACTATCATTATTACCACAGTCATTGATCCAGTGTGCACTCAGTACTATTCTCAACTCCCAGGGGAGTATACAAGTTGCCCAAAGGGAGACAGAAGTTTCACGGGTACAAGACTATATCATCCTATGGATAGGTTCGTATTAAGTAATGACTACCCTTTATCTCTGTATGGTATAAATTGTTGCCTGCTTCTCCACCTCAACCTGTCAGAATTTATATATACTCCACAAAATTATTTAAGGATCATGCCATGGCAGATTAACCATAGGAATGATTACATCCAAAGTGTCCCTTAGTATCTCTTGAGTAATATATAACAGTGTGACAATCCCAGTTATGTCTCAGTCACTGACTAGTTGTCAAAAGTTTTAAGCCTGTTGGGTGAAAAAGCAGAATCTCTAACTTGGGACACATGTTTCTCTGGTTTTATCCTTTACAGATATTGGCTAAATCATTTGGATCATTTGAAAATAATATTATCAGTGTAGCTCAATATTATATTAAATTGGGAATAAAGTTGTTTGGTTGGGTCAGGTTTATGTAAACACTGTATAAAGTGCATGTATTCACCTTTGGTGGTCACATACAATGTAATTGCAATTATTATTTTAAAAAGTCATTAGTTACTTTAATTTTTTTGTGTTTTTTTATTGCTTTTAGTATTTTTTGATACTTTGAAAGCATCAGGAATATTTCATTCATTTTATGATTTTGGTGTTTCTTTTGGTTCCTTTTGGTCAAACTTGAAAATTATGGAATTTTGCCTATCATGGTAGTGTTAGATTTATTTAAAATTCTGGTAGATACATGTATATTTAAATCAAATAGTTCCAAATCTTGTCAAGAACTACAAACATACAGCAAGTCAAATACATGAAAAGGTGCAAGCATCAATGATGTGCATATTGTTATGGAACACACACGTGCGTGCGCGCGCACGCACGCACGCACACGCACACACACACACACACATCCTGCATATTAAAAGTTCAAGTATATTTTACTTTTCGTAGCACATCATGTTTTGATATTTTTAAAAAGATCTAGTCATATCATAAGTAGTGCATCAACATGGCTAGATGAAGTATGATTTAAGTGTAGTTGCATGGTGTTTGGAAATTCATTACAAGTTCAGAGTCATTAAGATGATGTGTAGCAAGTATCGAATAGCTGTAAACCTGGCTGTGTACAATATACTGTCACACCTTGTCAACACAAGCCTAAACTAACGCTTAGTCCCTGAAATATATATAACTTTGACAGTAACAAATAAACCCATTTAAATTGAAAAGGAGCCCCAGTGAGTTGGGAGATTGATATCCAGGCTTGCTTCATTTAGGGCTTTAACACTACAGGGAGGGCTAGGGTGTAGGGGAAATAATGTGGTTCAGGGACTGTGAGACAGACTAACACAATCCATTTATTCTGTATAGTCAAACACTATTGTGTCAAACATTGAAGTGTCAAATGTACGTTTGTCTCAAAGTAAAAGGTTGGTCCCTGCGTATTCCTTTATTCCTTTGTGCATTTGTGTCCAAACTCCGATAATTGAATTATTTTGGTCCCTTCAACTCGAACACAGAGGTTTTTGACTGTATATAATTTAAGACGCAGTCAGGTCCTGGGCAAGATCCTCACTGGCAATATTTGTGCTTGTTATTTGTTTGCATTTTATAATTGTTCAAGGAAATAAGAGAAAATTAAATGGTCTCAGGTTTCAGCACACAGACAAAATAGACAAACTTCTTCATCAGACATTGTGGTTCAGGATAAGTAAAGTATAATTGTTTGGCGCTTCCTACCATGGAAATAAACAGTATTTTAAAGCATTTTAACATATTAGGTGTATATCTATGCAGATTACGTGATGTTGAATTTTTTTGTATATGTTGTTTATACCACATGATGTTTGTATATCTGACCATTGGCTTAGAAATTTATTTTTTCAGAGACTCGGGGACTACTGGAAAAGTGTTTTTGTAGTCCTTAGAGATTGTAGCTAATCTTAGGAGCACTATTGTAGCTTTGTGGCTAAAGTTGTAGCTCATCACGCTGAAAAACCGGGTTTGATGGGTACAATATGTGAAGTCCATTTCTGGTGTCCCCTTCTGTGATATTGCTGGAATATTGCTAAAAGTGGCATAAACATATACTTACTTTAGCTAGTATAATCACTTTTGACTCTTTTTCCATTTTCTCTCAGTTGTATTCAGTTTTATTAGCAAATATTGAAATATTTATTCGAGTTTATAGCAAAATTGAGAATTGGTGACAGGGAGGACTGCTGTCTACTGTTAACATTAATGTGCAACAACAGGAGCCATAGCATGTCCAGCAACATCTGCCTCCAAATTTTGAGTATCACTTTTGTTAGTATTTTAATGCTGGTGCACAAAGATGCTGGTTATATGAATCAGGAACATTAACTGTAAAATTATGAGTGAATCAAGTGGTTTATGGTATAACTGCAGTCTCTCCTGATTGTGGTTTCTATTTTATCAACAGTTATTGAAGAAGTGTTGTCAATAGAAACATATAAAAATGTTGAATATATTTCATTGTTTAAGATTGATGAGTTGCCTATCAAAGTGCGTGATATTTCTGTCGTACTGTTTCTCAATACGGCTATGATTGTTGTAAGCTTATCTTAAGTCATCAGAGTTATGACAGTGTGGCTTTGTTGAACAGCGCCCTGTTGACAAACTAGAAATGTTTGTAGAGGAATGAAGTGCACGGGTGAATTTGTATCATTTCCACTTGACAGGCTAGCCCGATGCCGGCAACATTCAAGTATTGCCTAGTGTAGACATACTAACTGGCCTGATGCCGGCAACAACCAAGTATTGCCTAGTGTAGACATACTAACTGAAGTTATACTGTAGTATACCCATTCACTTAAAAACTTCTTGTTACAAATGTTACGTAAGCTGAACAATGACTTTGGGTGTTTTCCCTTGCATCCCCCTCCCGGAACAACGAAGAACATAATACTTCCAAATTAGGACTTGGAAATGCCTTTCTGGTAACCCTGCCTGAAACTTCCTGTCCATCTTCCTGGATACCTGATGACACTTCAGGTCCATCAGGCCATCTCTCCAAGTTCAGGAGACATCAGGTCCATTTTTGCCGAGTCTTCAGGTCTACTTACCTTCAAGATCTCAGATCCATCAGTTCCTGAGACTTCAGGTTTATTTCCCAGGGTTCTACCTGAGACTTCAGGTTTATTTCCCAGGGTTCCACCTGACACTTACGGTTCATTTCCCAGGGTTCCACCTGAGACTTCAGGTTTATTTCCCAGGGTTCCACCTGACACTTCAGGTTTATTTCCCAGTGTTCCACCAGGTTTATTTCCCAGGGTTCCACCTGAGACTTCAGGTTAATTTCCCAGGGTTCCACCTGAGACTTCAGGTTTATTTCCCAGGGTTCCACCTGAGACTTCAGGTTTATTTCCCAGGGTTCCACCAGGTTTATTTCCCAGGGTTCCACCTGACACTTCAGGGTCATCCTGTCAAGTTCATGTGTTATGAGATTATGAGATCATTGTACTAAATATGACCCTCATGTTTGTTATATTGATTAGATATTCTCTTCCGTCCAATGTTTACAAACCTGTTTGTGCTTACTGTGACATTTCCATTGTATTTTTGTAAATAAACTACATATTATAATTTAACACAATGACATGTTTTTATTCATATTCCGACATGTCACAGACCAGGTGGAAAAAATGGGCAATTATATTTTCTTCATATTCTCCAGCATACCAATCACACCCACAATATTTGTTTGTTGTTTAACAGTGCATCCGGTAATTTTTTATATGGCAGTGATCTGTAAATAGACATGTATAGACCAGACAATCCAGTGATTGACACGAGCATTGATCCACACAGTTGAAATTAAATGACATGCATCAACCAAGTAAGCGAGCCTGACCTCACGATCCTGTTAGTTGCCTCTAAAACTGTGAGGGATGAAAATTTTCTGCGGATCCGCGGAATTCCGAGAATTTCATAAGGCCAAGGACCATTTTTGTCAATCGTCTAAATCCATATAATTTGGCCTCGATTTGGCCCCCGGCTAGTTTTCAGGTGGCCCCCGGCTAGTTTTCGGAGTTTTTCTCAAAACTTTATTCTCATCCCTGCTTACAACAAGCATGAGTTTCTAAAGACCAATTGTGAATGGAATCACTACGGTAATGCTTGATAAAGGTACTAGCATCTGTGTTGCAACAACACCAGTTGTAATCCCTAATTCAACTCAATCTTCAATGTGTTGGAATCTGAATGTTTCTATGGTATTTGGAGAAACTTCTGTTTTGAACATTTGGTTCTAATTGGTCTCGAACAGGAATTAAGGAAGTTAAAAATTGTCACATGTGCCACATATTTCAGCCATTTTGAGTCAAGGACTGAACCAGGGCAACTATCTACATAACAGAGATATTGAACGACCTCTGTGATGGATGTTCTAGCGTGTCAACACTGCTACATCAATACTTGCCTTTCTCATAATAACCTGGATCTATCTTGCAGTTGATGTGAAATAAAGTTTAATGTCACATTCAAGGTTTATTGCACTTATATAGGAATGTCCATGCATGAGTTACTGCTTGTACTGCTACAGACTAATGCCAGTTTGATAGTGCGAGCCCAATGAGACACGATGTTGGAGACACAGTCTCCTGACTCAGAACCAACCAGTCCTTGTTCAGTCCCTTCAGCGATGACAGCCAGGAATTTAATTATCGACTTTGGTTCTCAGAGCAAGCCGTTTCATTGCAGAATGAATCTGATAAAGATTATCTTTCAAATAGGAAGGCTTTACCTGGTAAAAGGTTTTCAAAATTGAATGCGAGGACAATATTTTCTCAAAATTGTAAATATCCGTCATGAATATATATATGAAACTTGTTCAATGAATCTAAAAAATATAATAGTTTAAAGAATGACAAACTATGAAAAGGAACTGGTTCAACACTAGACCTTTCAATGAACCAAATTTGATGAAGAAATATTGTATGGTTTTCAGAAATGCTACGAAATACATCTTGCATGGACAGATGTGTCGATAAAAGACTGGAAAACTGTAGAATGCGTGCTTTAGCTTGTCACAAATATTCCTGTTCTATTGGGCGGTGGTTTAGCCTAGTGGTTAAAGCGTCCGCTATCAAATCATGCACTGAAGACCCGGCTTGAATCCCCCACATGGGTACAATGTGTGAAGCCCATTTCAGGTGTCCCCGCCATGATAATGCTGGAAAATTGCTAAAGCTGGCGTAAAATCAAACTCACTCGCTCCTGTTCTGTTAATTATAGAATGTCTTTTGACGTCAGCTGATCATGTAGTTATATACTGAGGGGAAAAAATAAAGGGATCACATGAGAAGCACAAGTGTTCCTTTATTTTTTTTCCAGGTTTCTTCACAAGGGTTGTCATCGCATTGTGTGAAGGAACCTGGAAAAAAATAAAGGAACACTTGTGCTTTCATGTGATCCCTTATTTTTTCCCTCAGTATATATTGGAACTACTAAATATAAGATATAAATTTGTTGATATTTATATTAGTTATTTTGACAGTTATATATTTTAATTATCTTCATCTTCAATGTCAGCTAAACATGGACAGATGGGTCAACGTGTGTGCTGGAAATACTTCCTGATACAAATCCATTTAGACTGAATACAATGAGAAAGAGAATGATGGTAGGGTTAGTCATGTGATCTTTGCACACAGGGACTAATCACAGTGGTGCTGACCCATTGTCTAAATGGGGACCATGGTATTGTGGGTGTTTGGCCAATTGTTTTGTTTTGTCGCTAAAACTTAGTTCTAAGGCATTTCAGCACAAGGATCAAAGAAAAGTAAAGAAATGCTTAGCATGAGATAGGATAATTTTAAAAACATAACAATAAATATAGCCAAAGTGACACAGTGGTTGTCCATGCTAGATAAGGACAGATCATGTGAGATGATCCTGAACACAAGACAAACATTAACTATGAATGAAACATATTTTATTTAGGATGTATACATGATTTTTCTGTTTTTACATGAATATTTACACACTTATTGCAAATTTTCGTCAGCCTTAGACATCAGCTGGGTTTACTATCTGCGGGTATGAAAGATTGTAGATGTTGCCATTCCTGAGGTGTAAACTTGGGAGTCAGTTTCACATTGTCGTAGTCAAAGTCCTCGTCTAAACAGAAGGCCTCCACCTGGTCAGAACACACCTGCCAAAGTCAAACATGTTCATTCACTATGATTCAGACATTTAACACTATGTATATTTTAAACAAAATCAACTAAATTTCTGTTGTGTTTATTAAAATAAAAATCTAGCAATTTGCATGAACACTCTGTAAATCTGCATAACAGATATATGCAGTGTGCTCACAGGATTGTAGATTTACTCCATAAATGCAAAAATATAATGACCTCAATTTATATTTAAAAAATGCCTGAAAAATAACTTGTCGGACTGCTTATCTAATTGATGAAATAAAAACATGGACAAAACTACAAAACCATTGACATCATTCAGTGCTATAACCCAAGACAAGCTGCATCAACCAATCAGAAAAGAGTAGGGAGCGTTTGTTTGTTTAAGAAAACATAAACACAGGAAATTGCTTGGTTAGTCAATGGAAAACTACAAAACCTTTCATCATATTTTTAATGTAAACACACCCTGTTTTAAACATTCCAAATGTTGCCAGCTCTGAACAATCACTACTGTTGTTTCTCACAAACTGTAGGGCTTAGTAATAATTATTGAAAACATCTGATCATGGTTACCATGGTTACCGAATGACAAATGAAGCATGAATCAGCATATGGTGTTATTTCATCAAATGAAAAAAACGAGACAATACTAAGAAAACAAGAAACAATTTAACAGCCTTCCAGCTTCTAACAGCTGTTTACTGACTCAGAAAGACATAAAAATATAGCCAAGATGCAGCAGTCTAAGTAAACTTAGGCTCAGAATTATTCTATAAGTATAACGAATAATAGTGAGCCTAAGTTTACTTAGACTGAGACAAGAAGTCAATAAGCTTGTTTAAAGAAAAGTTTTATGTCGATGTCCGACTGAATCAAGAGAGTCTACTCATTTCAGTTGCAGAGATTTAGGCTGGCAACAGAGCAACAGCCACTAACAGGCAAGCCGACTAACTTGATCGAGTGTTCAGGCTCGCTGACTCGGGTTATGCATGTCATTGTATCCCAATTGTATTGATGCTCATGACACCTATCACTGGATTGTCTGGTCCAGACTCATTTGTTTAGAGACTGCCATCATATAGCTGGAATATTGCAGAGTGTGGCATTAAACAACAAACAAACAAAAACATGACATGACAACCTGCATGGCGCTGAAATGCTATCACTGGTGGACGAACTAGGAGGAGGAAGAGCAACAGTGTCCGTTTCGTTTGACTCCAGTATGTTGCTAAATGTCGTACACTAACAACTTGTGTATACAAGGATAAGAAACTCTTTACAGAACACTTATATCTGTGTCAAGAGACAGACGTAATTCCTGCTTCAGACACAACATTCAATTATTCGACTAATTTAAAGTATCTATCTCACCGACAAGTATTGTTGATCTGCCATCTTGCTTTACAGTAATGAAACAACAATGTTACCAAAAATAAGTCAGATCACAGGAGATGTATGCTGCACAGAGTCATGAGGTCGACCCATTATTATTTAACTCAAAAAGTGTACTTTACCAGAGTATAAAGTACATTATTACTCGCCCGTGGAAGATACTGCAGTGTGATATTTTTACGGCAATATTACACTAGTGTAATACCGCTAGACGTATGACGTCATACAGCTTGACTCGCGGAAAGCTGAGAGTCATCACACTACGTAGGCAGTTTCTATCAATTTATGTTGGAGAGTAATAAACAGAATACTAAACTCACTTCCGTGAAATACCATTTTTATTAAACTCGTGAAAGATTTAGTATCAAACTCGCTTTCGTTCATATGATATCAAATCATTAACTCGTTTAATAAAAATAGTATTACACGGAAGGTCGTTTAGTATCCACTTTGTAATAGTAATAGTCCGCTTATATGGCGCCCATATCCAGGCACATTGCCTTCTCACGGCGCTACGTACATTACTATCCCTGGTCATAGGACACTATCGTACTTTCCAATACTTTTTCAACTCCCTGGGGATCATACAGCAATGTTGCCTATTAGGCGCAATGAACTTAACACTCACATTGCCAGCAAATCCTCACGGGTACCCATTTTACAGCTGAGTGAACTGAGACAATGTGGATCTAAGTATCTTGTCCAAGGACACAACGCAAATGTGCCCACTTTGGGACCCAAACCTAGATGCCTTTGGTCTTTCAGGGAAGCATCTTAGAATCCCTGACATATAAACTGAGTCTAGTGAACCCCATCTTGAATCCCAAAGAACCCATCAGAAAAAACCCTGAATGATTAAGATCATCAAATGTAAAATCAGTGAGTGAGTGAGTTTTGGTATTACGCCGCTTTTAGCAATATTCCAGTAATATCACAGCAAAAGGGCACCAGAAATGGTTTTCACACATTGTACCCATGCGTTATATTGAACGCTTGTGTTCCGCATGACAAGCAAACGCTTTAACCACTAGGCTACCCAACCACCACCCCAAATGTAACATGACAGGAAAAGGAAAGAATGCAGTTACCTGATCCTCGGACTGCGGTGTGTTCTCACTGCTGGTTTTCCGAGTCGTGGCTAAGTCAAGACTTGTAACCTGAAGCAGTTCTAACTCTGTAGGAACATTCTCCGGAGGAACCTCGACCTCTCCAGGGTTAAGATGAGCAGCAACATCATCATCATCATCATCTACACAGTCCGCATCATACTGCTGGTCCACTAACATACTCAGGTCACACTCTGTAGCTTGCTGTGTTGCATGGGGCAACTGCTGTTCTTTTATCAAAAACTCTTCCTTGGGCTGAGTTATCTCCCCTTCAGTTACAGATTTACCTGAGTGTTACGCAGAAAGAATTTCAGATATTAACCATGCCATCAGCAGGGATTTACATGGAGTCCTGTATTTGTGGGTCCCTGGGGCATATACTTAATTTTCAGGGGTCCTGGACAACAAAATGAGGGTCCCAGACACTTAAAATATTATTATTAATACTGTTGTTGTATTGTGTATCATGATCATAACATTGTTACAGTAATTAAATAATACCATAACCCAGCTAGTAGCAGACTCAGTGATAACTTATTGTCACTTTATTGGAGTTTTTACAAAAAGTATTTGGACTTTTTCAGCGTCCCTGTGGACGCGCTAATAAATTTTGTTGCATCCATTGTCAAATTTTATGCGTATAGGACGCAGGATTTCGCGTCCTGTTAATCCCTGCATCAGTGACCAAGTTCCTCCAATAAAATAATCTATAAGATAAGACACAGTTGACGAATATTTCACAACTGATTTATTCAATACAAATCTCTCAACATTTACAATAGATTTGGAAGAATTAATAGCAGTATGGGAAACTGTTCGATTGGCATTTGTTGATAAAGGCAAGATATAAGGATGACTTAATTCTTCTTAATTCTACTATGACGTGATGTTTAGGTATAGATCATTACACTTTGTCAAGCAAGCGAGTGAGTGAGCGAGTTGGATTTTACACCGTTTTTAGCAATATTCCAGCACATTGTACCAATGTGGGGAATCGAACCCGGGCCTCAAGAGTGAAGTAAGACAGAACAGTACAGACTTATAAACATTTAACATAGTTGTTGTTAATCCCTCTCATGCATACCCTTATGATGTTTTTGTGAACCCTAGTAGATGTACATAAGTGTGAGCTGTGCTCGAGTATTTCATTCCATAAGTCTATAATTCACCTCGATGTATTCTTTATGCATGGCTTCAAAACAAGGCATTTCCCTTGATAATCTATCAATGAATATGGCAGGGGTGATCATATGAATATATCCCATTTACCTGTCTCAGAAAAGCTTGCACTGTATCCTCCACCTGATAAATCATCATCATCATCATCATCGCCATCACTACCAGCATCATCAACAAAGTTGTCAAACTGCAATATAACATTTCACAAACCTATCTCTTTGAACAAAACATGAGCACAAGAGTTTTTCACATAGTGATAAAAACTTTCTCTTTGACATGTAAATTAATAGAAGATTCACAAATAATGAGAAACTGATCACATGGTATACACAATTATTAGAAACACTGATGTGATGATACTGTTATGTACCAGTGAGAATCCTACATCAATAGATATGTAGCTGGAGATCCACAAATAACAGTTGTCCTAAATATCTTAAACCCTTCATACCCTACATTAAAACTAGACAAACTGAAATCACTGGGCTGTGAATTTGGTGTAATTATAAAACTGAATATTGCAAGTTAAGTTACTGCACCAAATGTTCATTACAATATCACTTCTAGAAACTGAAAAAAAAACAACCTAAGCCTAACACTTAATACTATTTCATGATTTTGTTTGTCCGTTGTTTAATGCCACACTCAGCAGTATTCCAGCACCTTGTCCATAAGTAATTGAGTTCGGACCAGACAATTCAGTGATTGACACCATGAGCACGGATCTACACAATTTGGTTGCAATGACATGTGTCAACCAAGTGAGTGTGTCTGAGCATTTGATCCTGTTAGTCGCCTCTTACGACATGCATGGGTTGCTGAAGATCAATTCTAACCCGGATCTTCACAGGTATACTATATAAATGTATGACTAGGTAAATACATCATGTAGTTCAAATGCAATTATCAGATTAGCTTATCACATCATGCAATACTGAAGAGGATAGATACTTTTCTCTGTGGACGGCTGCCACGGTGAACGGCTCCATCAGTCATCGTGCCAGACTTGGTTCCTTCATCTAGAGCCTGCAACAAAGCAGTGTCATCACATCACAAAATCTACAGTGTAAATCTTGCATTGACTCCCAGGAAACCTATGTATGTATTGTTTCTTAAAAATTTATTTTCAGGAAATTTGAATGTGATCTTTTTACTGTCTACAGAACTATACATCAATCAAGCAATTGCAGAGAATTTAACAGTTTAACAATTTAATAGGGCAATATTTTGTGTGTAGTAAGTTTGTATTAACGTGCCAGTAGGGGTAATTCAATTGTCATTGCTTATCAGTACAATGTTTGCATATGGTTGCGGTCTGTAAATAATCAAGTTTGAACCAGACAATCCAGTGATTAATATGGATATAGATATATTCTACAGTATTATAAACATGTTTTAAGCTAGTCCAGATATAATAGCTTCCAACCTCCAACTGTAACAGGGAGGCATAATACACTGTACTGTAATAGACTCTGTTTATATTGCTTTCTAAGATGCCTAGCGGTTAGAAGAATCGAAAAAAAAATACATTATCAGACAATAAAGGTACAGTTTTTTGATGACGTAACAATTGAATGACATTATCCCGTCACCGCACCATTCTAGTGTGCCCCCTCGTAATCGAACCATTTTACATTACGTCACAATGTAAGCGACGTCACGATGCATGTCAGTTGTCATCGCCTCATACGGCCTCCTACAGTAAACTACACCGTTGCATCCAGCGTCCTCGTGCTTTAACTATAATAGTTCAGGGCAAAGGTGTGTTTTATTACACTATACATGGTGGTAGAGCGAAGTGTATTTCTTAAATACCAGTAGTTGAAGAGGAATACCATTTAATTGTCAATGTTTAAAAAATGCATAAGATAGAATGTTTTCCACCTTACCTATATATTGGTAATCCGTGTAAAGATGGTCTTGTTAGACTTGTGTCATCTAAGGATGATGTTTTGATAAGTATTGCTACTTTTTCTTTAGAAGGGTATGTTATGCCTGTACATTGTGCAAAAATGGTTCCATAGCTTTCAGAGGCAATAATGTGTGATTATTAGTGGTTTTACCAGCATCAAACAAAATGTAAAATTATTCTGTAATGTGGGCCATGGCCTTGTATACTGAAATAAAACTGTCTGTCTGACATCAGGAGCATCAACTGCCACAGCAGGGATACAAAGACATGTGCCAACCAAGTCAGCAAGTCATTCGATCTTGTTAGTCGTCTCTTACAACAAGCATGGGTTGCTGAAGACCTATGACCACAGGGATCTTCACAGGTTTGATCCCTTGAGTATGAGTATACCAAGATTCTGAGTTAACTTTACTCTCCACCAACAAAGACATCTGAATGTAGTGGTGGATGTCAGATTCCAGACTCTGCTGGATGGCATCAGTTGATTACACTGTTTCTTCCTCTCACCTGTTCTTCTATACCATCATCATCTGTCTGTGTATCATGTCTGTGTGAAGGAGTTGCCTCGTTATCTCCTGTGCTGTGGAGAGACAGACAGGTTTCTCCTTACTGTTGACAACAGGAGAGACAGTTGCTTTATTTTTCTTGGATTCAGCTTCCAGTACATGATCTGCAATATATTGACATCATCATCACCACAGGTTTTCACTTCAAAAGTATGTTACATTATGTAGCGGCCATAAAATTTAGGAGTCCCGTGCTGGGACTCGAACCACGGACCTTCTGATCCGAAGTCGGACGCCTTGTCCACATGACCAAAGAGGTTAACCCCATCAGCAAGCTGACAAGGTAAGGATGTCATCTGTGGGATGACTCCACGCCCTGCTACATACTCCCCCATCAACAGAAGGCATAGTTGGGTACTGAGACTTATTTTGCTCAAATTTCATATGAACGTGCTTAGCCCCACGTTGGGCCCCAATGTAGCGGCCCTAAAATTTCCGAGTCCCGTGCTGGGATTCGAACCATGGACCTTCTGATCTGAAGTCGGACACCTTGTCCACATGACCAAAGAGGTTAGCCCCGTCAGCAAGCTGACAAGGTAAGGATGTCATCTGTGGGATGACACCACGCCCTGCTACAATTACATGAAAATCACTGTTTGGTATGGACATTAACCATACAGTGCTAGTCCAAGACTAGTTCCCAGATAGCATCCGGACGTTGGTTCCAACGTTGGCAATGTTGGCAAAACCATTGCCAACGTTAGGCTAACGTCTGAATGCTATCTGGGTTAAAGTCTCAAAAGGCTCAACCCAGATAGCATTCAGGCGTTATTCAACGTTGGCAATTGTTTTGCCAACATTGCCAACGTTGGGCCAACGTCCGAATGCTATCTGGGAAGGGGCTTGTTGTATGTATTATACTGGCTACTGTTCTGAAGTGAGCTGTGGACTAAATGGATTAGATTAGGTTTCTGGGAGTGGCATATTTTCAAATTCAGATCTGAATGTATTTAACACTGGCTTGGTGAAAGCAGTTGTATGAATAATGCCCTTCCAAACATGTCGATTTAGTCAACTGATGCAGCTGTTTACAGTGAAGTATCCAACTACCACCTATAATTCATCATTCATGCTGATTTACATACTTTATCACACTACTGCTTTGGACATATTGTCTTGACACAGGCTTGTAACTGTTTTGTTTTCGTTTTTTCATTACAAACCCATGTGTGACTATGTGTCTCTCTCACATTCAGTAATAATTTTAACAGACTGTTCCAAAACAATATTTAACTGGAAATAATTACCCATCGTGAGATAGGTGAACGATTTGACCAGCGATTCTGTGGTCTCTTGAGATTTGTTCACGAAGCCGTCAATCACCTGCCGAATCCCCTCGTCAATATTTTGATTGATTGCATTTTGTCGTTCAGGGCTTGGCTCATTCATATTCGGGCTTTATTTATTAGCCTTCTTTTTTCATACAGTTTTACACATCTGTCGGTGACAACACTTCTACGTATGCATTCAGATTTTACACATCTAAAACATGTGACCGAACGGATAAAGTAACATGCACTAAAAGTATAATTCTTGCTTGCCAGTTTTCAATGCGTCTTTGACGACGGGCGGAAGAAGGAATGTTCACCCGGAAGAGGTTAAAAAGTTGAATCCACGTACGGATCGGGATTAGGTTAACTTTCTTAGATTTTAATCAAGATTGTGTATTGCATTCAGACATCCGTATGCTGAGTTCTGTAGGGGCGGCGGGGAAGCCTACTCAGTTGTGGTTACATCGTTCCCTTGTCACGCCCAAGACCCGGGTTCGATTCCCCACATGGGTACAATCATATATTTATAAGCATGACTCTGATCTTATATATATAGGCATGACTATATATCTTACAAAATGTATGTATGATTCGCACTGAAAACACTTACCAGGCATATCTGTACTCAGGGACCGTTCATAATTTATGGCTCGGGGAGGTGATTATGATTTTAGAAAAAAAAAAAAGTGGGGTGGTGGTGTGTGTGTTGTTGTTCTGGGGAGGTAGGGTGGTCATCAATTTTGTACACGTTTCTAAAGTGGTATTGTGGGGGTCAGCAATTTTTTCATAACAATAATATTTAAAATTATGCTTAAAGATATTGGAAGGGGGGGTCATTGATATTGTACATGACATGCAGGGGTTGTCACTTACTTTGTACATAAAATGGGGAGAGAAAGGTTGTCAAAATTTCTTATGAGAAGGTCTGACCAAATAAATACACCTGCCGATTGTGCCATTGTTGATCTGTTGTTATATAAAATGTGAGTAAAATGTCATTTTTCATCACTTAATTGTCAACCATGGAAAGTTTAGCCAAATCCATTCAAGATATGAAGGTCTTGAAAAGCCCGATTGGCTTGTTAATCTGTTGTTACATAATATGATTACCAGGAAATCGTGGGTAAAATTCATTATTCGGTTACATAATATGGGGCTTAAATAACGGAGTATGGTAATCAGTACGGTAATCAGTGTAGTGTAACATATGTTGGGATTACATTCTTAGTAACACAGATTCTAGTACTCGTGTTGGTTTGAGTCCCATCCGGGATTCGAACCCACACCCTCAGTCGTAACAATGTGGTGTTGTCGACAAGAACCCGCCTGAGTGGGACGCTGCTGTATGCCGACACAAGGTAGACCGAGTGTTGAGCTTCATCTGCAGGGTAAACAGAAGCCCCGCAACACAGGGGAGCGGAGTGCACATCCAGATAGACAATATTGAGTTACATTTCATTCCTGTAGATAACGACTGGAATGTGAATTTACTTACGTCAGAAAAACCCTGGAAAACAGGTGAAACTATCTCAGGAGACAGAAACCTCTGCAGCTCAATAACAGCTCAGGCCCGGATACCGAGGTCAACAACGGAAGGTAGAATACATGTAACTATGTATTTGTTATCAAGGAAGCCACATTTTTCATTTTCTCAGGAAACGGGTAATTCATAGAGCTCGGGATTACGGAATATGTTCCTCATGATTAATTCCTCGAACAAGTTACAAAGTCAATGGAATTTATTATTTTGGGATCGACAATGCCCATATATAGAGTAAGGGGTGAGTGAGTTTAGTTTTGCGCCGCTTTAACTAGCAATATTCCAGCAATATTATACAAGAAATGGGCTTCACACACTGTATGCCCATGTGGGGAATCGAACCCTTGTCTTAGGCGTGACGAGCAAAGGCTTTAACCACTAGATTACCCCACCGGTCCCTGGTTGCAGAGATCAACAACAGACGGAGTATGTATTTGGTATCAAGGATATCCGATTTTCTACATTTTCTCAGAAAATGGGTAACATAGAATAGCCTATTCTCAACGCAGATTATGTCCCTCATAATAATTGCTGTAAATTCCTCGAACATCAACTTACAAATATAATGGAATTTATTATTTTGGTAACGATAATACCCGTAGAACAGAGGCGATTATCCAAACGTGGGACCCGTGAAGATCCGGGTTAGAATTGGTCTTCAGCAACCCATGCTTGTCGTAAGAGGCGACTAACGGGATCGGGTGTTCAGGCTCGCTAACTTGGTCGACACATGCCATTGTATCCCAATTGCGTAGATCGATGCTCATGATGTTGATCAATGGATTGTCTGGTCCAGACTCGATTATTTACAGACCGCTGCCATATAGCTGGAATATTGCTGAGTGCAGCAAACAAAACAACAAACAATCGTGACGCAAAACACAAACTATCGGGGGCGGTGGGGGCTAATGGATAAAAGTTGGCTCGTCACGCCGAAGACGGAGGTTCGCATGGGTACCAAGCCCATTCCTGGTGTCCCCCGCCGTGATGTTGCTGGAATATTGCTAAAAGCTGCGTAAAGCCAAACTCAGTCAGTCAGTCAGTTACAAGCCTAGGGCTGGGACGGGTAGGAAAAAATGGAATCAAGTACCCGCATGGACTTACCCGAATTGGAATCGAGTACCCGTAAATGTAAGGAATAAAACGCTTCTGTCAACTTTCTGAATATCCAATCACGAGTTGACAGAGATTTTATAGAAAAACTTGAAATGATGTCAATAAGACACTGAAACTGAACATGGGCTATTTATTTTACGTCTGTTTAACCAGGGAGACTATATGTGTTGTAGATTATCCCTGGTTTAACCAATATAGAGAGTAACACCATTGCCGCTGTTACTGCAACTTGACTCCTCACTGCTCATGCTCAGATATATTACAGTCGTTAATAATAACCTCCATTAATCGGACAATGCCAATGATGCAAATGTGTGTTACGTCAATAATGAAAAAGACAAGTTATTGTCTGCCCTTGCCATTACAGAGTTCTCTCTTTTTCCGGGTACTCGATTCCTAGAAATAGGACTCGGTTCCAGCTCTACCCGACCCGGATTCGAGTACCCGAGTCCCGTCCCAGCCCTATACAAGCCCAGTATTGTTGTTACGCGAGATAACGTTCTTATCAACGTTCAGCCAGTATTGTGATCATATGCATTCGTGTATTAAATGTATTCATGTCTGTACATATATGAGAATCGTCCATGAATCATTGACTGATCTGGGGCTCGTTCCATAAAACGATCCCAGTGCTACGATGGTCGTGAGCCTTTGTTAAGATATATGGAGTCACCTTAGCGCCAAGATCATTTTGTGCCACCGGGCCCTGGCTCTGCAAGTAGTTATGTTACAAGCCGTGTATATATACTACTAAAGGAGAACCTAAACATTCCATTCATATGCGATGTTAGCAAAAGTTCAATTTAAATTGTGTTAAAGATCAGCAGTAATATACACGAGGGTAAATCGAAAAGGGTTTAGTCTTGTAGTTATTTCTTTGTGAAATGTAAACACCTAAGATTCAGGTGAGAGAAACAGCGAACATTAAGAAAACAGACTAACCAGCTGTGGTTAGTGTCTGCACAAGCAGACATGTTACCAAAGGACGGATACTTGAAGGATTGGGTATGAATACCCTTCAACTGTCTCGGAAATAGGCAAATGAATTTAAGAGGCAGGGCACAAATTACCCAGAGTCTGGCGGCCCTAAAGATGCTAAAAGTCAAGCGGAAGCTGTCAATCGGTGTCCGACTAGCTCGTTGCAATTCATCACGTCGCTGAGGTGATGGGGAAGAATTTTGTCATGGGGATCAGTTTTAGGTCAGTGCCGTCCATCGTAACTGACACACGACACATGAGCCAACTGTCACCAGGATTGTACGTGTTGACATCAGGTCAGCTGACTCAACATATCCAGGGAACCTTTGACCATCAGTATATAAATCTTATAAAATTCTCATGTGAACTTGTAACTCATGATGCTACCGGACTCCATCGCTTTGATACATCCTCTCTCACACGCACGCACACACTTACATTGTTACTGTACCAGGCTCGACAAGGTGTCTCATTTAGCAAACATAAGGTGACGTATGTACGTACGTATGTACGCATGTATGTGTCTGTCTGTACGTGCGTGAGTACGAAGCAATACGTAGGAGTATATAATATGTCAATATGCATGTGCTTGCGTGCGTATGTATGTGCTTGCGTGACCACGCTGGTTGTCCATGCACGTGTTTATACCACGTTGTGGTAGATAGGGCGTGCGTGCATGTGTCGTACGAGTATGTATGTGTGCGTGCGTGTGTGTGTTTGTGTTTATGCCTCGTCGGCGTTGATGGTGTCGGGTATAATTGGATTGTATGACCAAGGTGATTGTCCATGTGTGTTTTCACGCACGCAATGGGTGGCTCGTTCTGGCGCAAGGTGTCGTACCCTCACTACAACCATGCAGGCTGTCGCCATAACGCTGGAATCTTGCTCAACAGCAGGTACAAAATAATTATCTATGGACTATTCAAAAGCAATTTGTGTTAGAAAAGGTGGACTTATTTCTGTAATAGTTAGCGAACAAATATACAATATACCGTATTTACCATAATGAGAGCCCTTGGTGCACATAAAATTGACTAAGAATGGAAGTTATTATTCCTCCGGTGATTCAACAATGCCACCAATATCATTCGTTTTTTTATATTTTAGTGCAGAGAAGGAAAAATATTAATTTGTTACTATCAATTTTACAAAAAAAACCCATTAATCTAGTCGTGTAACTTGGCTGTGTGTCTATATAAAATGTGTACTACGCAAGATGGGACAGGATGCCGTGTAATGTTTCGGGACTGGCACTGGGCGTTAATAAAGAGTACTTGCGCAGTACTATCAAGAAGTAGATATATTAGCATTACGGTAACTTTACACTCTGCCATGCAGTTTTCAAGCCATTATCAACAGTCTGCTCACAGTTTGATGTTATCATTGCCCAGCATATTTTATCCGCCATATGGTGTCTAATATTGTGATGAGTTCATTGTAAACCTGGCACATCTGTTTGAAGAGTGGGAAAATGTACTAAATGGACCAAACTGATGGCTGGTGTATAATTGAGACTGTAGCGAAGTAAGGTTCGTTCGATATTGTATGAATCCGTTGGAATGGATTCCATTTTAGAAATCATTACGAGTTATATATATCCATTTAATATTGGGATGACATCAATATAATTCAGATTTATTTGTATAGCGATGTACCTGTTGCATGTCACTGAATATCCACGTGCAATTTTGTTCACATACCGAGAGACCTCCTTTTTGAAACTTTAAGAAAGAACTTATATACACCTGGAAAAGGTTAAGCACACTGGCATTTTTACAATTTTACAAAGTTGTATGTTTCGGCTAACATCAGTGGTGTGCACGCACCGTACGTTGGTAAATCTGCATGTAATGAGGAAAATAAATATATTTGTAACCTGGTGCACCTGCTTGTACCCAGGTGCACCAGATAAAGTTCTAAACGTGCTCCAGTAGGTTGAGGTCTGGACTCTTGGCGGGCCACGGAAGGTGTCACAGCGTTATTCCGAATGAAATATGTCACTGCACAAGAACGGTGGCCTCCACATGTACAGGTTATGTAGCAAGAAGATGCCAACAAATTAAATGAGGGACAATAACTGAATCCACCACTTCCTGGATATACTGAACACCCGTCAAATTTCCACGTATTGTCAAGTAAACACGAGAGACACACCCCCTCCGACCACATCATGATGGAATCTCCACCAAACTCTCAAGCGTCCATCAGTTCCATGAAGAGGTCCTCTTTCGACAAGCATATTTTGTTGAAGACCAATTCTAAAACGGCTCTTCACTGGATACACTGTATGAATCCGTTGGAATGGAATCCATTTTAGAAATCCTTACGAGTTATCATCAGATAACTTTATCATGACCAAAATGAAAATATTGCAACAAAAAAGTAGCCCCAGAACTAACTACACCTCAACGATGTCTACTGATTGTCATTACATTTTGAACTAAAGTGGATAAACAATGGCAATAAAATATACTGGGCAAAAATAGTTAGGGATATATGTAAATTTTGAAATTATGAATAAAGATGTATTTATTCATTGACACATTGATAAAATATCAATCATAAATATACAAATATCCCTAACTTATTTTGTCCAGAATAAGTATTTTTCAATATGGCTTTCGTGGCAGCCATATTGAAATTCTGATTAAAATGTCTTGACCTCGTTGCGATGTCATTTACGGGGGTAACAAGTTCTAATATGTGGAATTTCAGATTCATAACGGACAGGGCACTGCATAATCTCACGTGACTTTTTGTACAATGAGCTAAAAGCATGTGCAAGACTTGTCTGTTGGTGTAACGAACTACATCACTAGGGTTGAAATGGTGGCCTTTCGGAATATCAATGCACTGTGGGTTCAACTTTTTTTTCTGTACCTAAACAAAACGATATATTGCTCAAATGTTTTATTTACCCTCGTTTACTGATGCCTAAGCGTAGCAAAATATGATGGGAACTAACGGTTTAAATTCACTCGAATGAAAGCTAATACGAACGAGAGTATTGAGCTTGCTCTTCCCCTGGAACCCGTAATATTTGAAGTTAAGACGTTCCACTACATTATGACCTGAAAATCGGTATCGCGACGAGCATCGTATCCTGACTTTGCTGTATCGTTTCACCCAAGACATTAACACTGGTATTCTGTTCAGGATCTTCAGACAAGATCTGAAAACAGACTGGTTGACAACTCTTATCAGATTCTTCAAGCATGTTAATAACTTGAGAGTTATGTGAAACTTTGGTACTGATATTCAGTTACATATTCATATACCCATGACTAAACACGTGAGTTCATTTTCCTGAGATTATAGTACCTCAAACTTCTACGACTGTGATTAGATATTCACTTCTTCAGTTCAGCCCTGTCTGAGCGACTTTGATTACCCTTGTACACAAATAATTGTATACTTCTGTGTTTTATGATGAAATTGTTATCTTTCCATATTGCCCAAAACCGATTCTCAATTCAAGTATGTATTTAAACAGAATATCTGATTGAATAATTTAGTTTACATTGTCACAATATCATGATTTCATACAAACCATATACTTCTAAGCACTCATCAGTGATTTCTCATAACTCATAACATAAAGTAGACTAATTGTAAAACTTGGTTTATGAATCGATCCACCACAAAATATAAATAAATAAGTAACATCCCAAAACTTTCCATCTACATGAAATAAGTAAATAATCTTGAAAGGATAATAACATGCCAACCATTGGTTCCTTGGTTTATATGTTTATAAAAAAGTATAAATTTTCTCAATTATCACATTCAAAATGTCAATAATTACTAGAGTTTATTTGAAGTTTGTTGTTGTCTCTAATCCTTCACAAAATAAGGAGCAGGAACAGCATTCCAAGGGCTGAATTCATAAAAAAGAACTTGAATCTCTTTTTAAAAAAAAATAAAACTTTTTCAAGTGTTTGATAGTCAAAGTAGGAAAGACAAAGTTTTTTACTTTTTCAGACTTTAATTTTGAGATTTTACTAGAGTCATATTCATAATGCAGCAAAGGCATAAGATTTGTCAATTTCTGACTCAAACTAGTCAAACTAGAAGGTGTTTGACTTAAGTCAGTAAACAGCATGGCTGCCGTCTTTCGCCAAAGGAGGCAAAGTCTCCATGAATACAATGATGTAGACTTTAATATGGTGATATCTTCTAGATGGGAATGCATTAGTTTCGTCACAGCCTAATAGCACCAGATGTTGAGCCCACAACCATTCGTAACCATGACTACATGCCACACTAAAGACACTTATCACATTGAGGTACTTTGCCACTGGAAAGTTTCAGTTAGCTTAGCCGTATTTCCAAAACTTCATTTTTGATTACAGAAAACCATAGTTTCTTCATGAATACGGCTATAGTCATATCATAGCATACTAGTATCAGGTTTAACTGGGAGGAAAGTCTGATATAATGCAGGTCAGACATTTCCACTTCGCTGAAACCCATGAGCACAGGAATGGTGCTGACAAACATGATAAGGACATTCAGATTCAAACCAACAATCATAGGTTCCTGGCAAATCCAAGGGATGTAAGTTTGTAACTCTGCAGAGCAAACATCAACGCATCAGATGCTGGGGCACCTACGTCTCCTCAGAGAAGAAGTTAGACTCATATTATACAACTATAAAACATATTAGTTTATCATGCTGATTGTTGTTTAAGGCTCTAAATGGCTCAAACTGTATAAAAAACAAATGTGTGACCCTCAGGACACATCCTTGTCATCAATATTACAAACAAACATGACAAACTAGGGCATTTTATAAAACAGGTTTATTACCATTCTCATAAAATATATCTTCATTCATAAAACATGTCAAAATTGGAAGATTCATTAAAGCTCTTCAACATGATAATTTGATAAACAAAAAGTTTTATAAAATGAAATTTGTGACACATATCTTCACATTGTTAAAATGTTTTTGAGTTTCTATACTCCTGATGTAGGTTTTGTTTACAAGCAATGAAAGAACACACGACATGATACTGAAGATGTTACCATGAAATAAAAATATACGACATAAAAAGCATAATGGTTTAGTTAAACCTAATAAAATATATTTCTTGTTGCATGCTACCAATCTACTCTTAAAATTGCACCTGCCCCTAATACAAATAACATATTTGTTAGCACTATTAAAAACTACCTTTTAAATTCAAATCCTGTTTTGGCACCAGATCATAAAAGTTTAAACTGGCTATTCATCCTGTTCCTAGTGTAACGAAGGACCAGTCTCATTATTCATTATTGTCATTACTAAGGGTTATTAGGATCTGTAGACTTTCCAATTTGGAACTTCTCAAATGAACTTCGACCATGATAGGTGCATCAGTGTGCATTTTATTCTCTACTCCCTGGGAAGTGTACATCAAGCAGAAGAGGGCGGGACCAAAAGGGGTCAAGTGGTACCTTAAAATCAAGTTCACTTTAAAAGATCTGTGACCTACTTAGGAAATACAGTAGAAAAATAAATCCATCCTTCCCTACCTGTTTCTAAAACATCAACAGAAATAATACATATTTAAAAAGTGACCTTATCATTATCTTTTTGACAAGGAGTCTGCATACATCTTTGAATAAGCTACAACCATAAAAAGGAGGCAAATAGAATAACTATTTTTAACATGTTTAACAAGGTTCATATAAGTATGTAAGCTATAGTGGGGAGAAGCTTTGAGTGATATATACAGGTCTGAAAATTAGCATTGATTAACAGTATTAATACTTGATATATTCATATTCTGCACAGCCTGGATACATGAGGCATGAGGTTGATAAACATGATTAATATTGCCCTTGGAGACATTTCCACAAGTATAACCATTAAAACACCAACAAAACATAATGTTTTAACTTACAAACATAACTTATTGAACATTGTTCTGTGAATAGTTTTGTAAATACCATTCATGATCTTCGGGCTGCAAGCACCATGGGGTTGACTTGACATCACACGTTAATTTCACATTTAGTATGGTCACTGGAGCATTGTCTATAGTCAGTTCTCTTCTACTGGCGATGTTATATTCAACTGTTGACATCCCAGTCTCCCTGTCCAGCCTTCTTGTCTTGTTCCGTTGGTCAAAGTAACGCTTGTTATCCCTGGGCCTTCTCTTCCTGTCATGGACATGTCGGAAGGTTTTGTTTCCTGTCGTTATATTTTGAGGTCTTTGAACAATAATCCCAGCTTTCCTCATTCTAACGTAGAATTCATCATCCTCACGACCCCAACCCCAGTATCGGTTTGACAAACCATTCAGCAATTTGAAATCGGATGATTTCAGGAGAAGTATTCCCCTACGAATGTTTTATAGTGATATAGAGGATGGAGATTAGGTGCAGCAATATGAAAAGGTCCGTTTTCTGGATAGGAATAGCTGAGAGCTGGGTTTAGAGGCAAAAGATCCACATCATGCATGGCAATATAATCAGACACTTCACTGCTTTCACGAAAACCAACATTTATAAGAGATGCTCGGTTGAACCTAAAATTATCAACCTGGTTCACAGCATAAATCTTGTGACGAACGTTTTGATTGTTAAGAAATGAATGCATGTGAGGTACAAATTCCATCAATTCTTCAAACCTGTCTCTCAGAGGCACAACAACTGCCAGGGTGTGGTTGGATTTGTACCGGTCAACTGTAGCTGGTGTCTGGACAGTTCGAACATCCGTCTGCACGGAGTCGCTTTCTTTGGGTGGGCATTGGCACTGTGTAGAATCTGGTAACGGATATCGGGCAAGGTAGAGACAAAACACCAGCGTCAGAGCCAAGCACACTAGAAGAATGTGCGAGGTTGATAACCGCCTCCTGTTGGCCATCCATCAAGTTTAAAACAAAAGTCAACAAATTATACGGAATCCCGTAGCTGAGCGGCGTGTGTTCTTGTGAGAGACAAGGGGCTACTGTTCAGCTCAACTCCAAACCGACAAACGTCATCATTTCGGACTTCTGACATATGGCTCACACATGGGCTGGTCGACTACGAATTGAATGCTACCGAGTGTAACGTACCAGGAAGGTTGATGGCAAGCAGGGGAAGGCGATTCTGTCCCGACAATCTCCGTCAGCTATATGACACATGTAGCCACACAAAATGTCTCTGGAAACGCCTTTTTTCATGTTTTCGATACGACCACTGACTGTGCCTCTCCCAAAAAAATTGACTGACCCATGACAGGTCGTACTCGGCTCTCAACAGCCAAACCACAACAAACGTGCTGCGGTGGAGTTTACGTACTTAAATTGCGGAATGGGTTGACCAAATACGAAAATAGAGTCAACCTGAAACAGCATTGCACATTCTACTTGGAGTGTTTGCAAATCTCCTCATCTTATTTGGAGATTTTATTATCTGGAGATTACCAAAATCGTAAAACATGCTTTGTATGTCTGTAACATTGTTAAATCAGGCATGCAGCTATCTATCAGAAAGTGCTTCGTCTGATACGGATTCAGCATGACAGCATTAAATGACCGACATCTTTTACAATAAAACAACCGTTCATGTACCGTATTAATTAGTGCCAGTCTTAAAATATAGAGATCTAAATAGATAATGCTTCAATCTACTCGGATAATACTCTCATCTATGTAGATGATACATATATTTACATAAATAATAATTGCTTCTGAGTAAAAGATACAGACTACATCTATGCAGATGATACTTAAATTACGTATATGATAGGGGGAGATAGGGTAGCTAAGTGGTTAAAGTATTCGCTCGTCACGCCGAAGACCCGGGTTCGATTCCCCACATGGGTACAGTGTGTGAAGTGCATTTCTGGTGTTCCCCGCCGTGATATTGCTGGAATATTGCTAAATGCGGCGTAAAACTGAATCACTCAAGTATATGATATTATATGAATATAGATCATTCAGTATCGAATTATCGCCCTTGTAACCATATTTTCTCGAGTTATCGACAATAGTTTCTGCTTGTTTTATGTAACTTCATTTATGAATAATGGCCGAATTATTTGACTTTCAACCTTGGTGTTTGTGTTTAGTAGAAATGATCAGATTCTTTAGTTTGTTGTTTAACGCCGCTCTCAGCAATATTCCAGCTATATGGCGTCGGTAATTAAATAATCTAGTCTGGACAAGACAATCCCGTGATCAACATCATGAGCATCGATCTACGCAATTGGGAACCGATGATATGTGTCAACCAAATCAGCGAGCCTGACCACACGATCCCTTTAGCCGACAAGTATGGATTACTGAAGACCAATTCTAACCCGGATCTTCACGGATGAGCTATGACCGGAACATTCAATAAAATAACTCTTCGTTTAATGTGTCGAAGTTTTGTTAAATGAGTTGGTATGAGTTTTTATTTTCATTTTAACGCTGATACATGAAATGGTTTCAGTTGTGAAAATTAAATACAAAAAGGCCAAATGAAAATACATGACCAACATACTGCCAAACAAATTATATATCATCCTGGAAATGTTTTTTATCCAATGTTTGTTGGAACTGCACCCATCTAGGGTGTAACTTCATAGCGCCAATAACCGTCTTAGTAACAATACGCACGATTATAATATCATATATGGAGATGAATGCAACTTCTACGTAGACGAAATTATTATCAATGTAGATGAATTTATAAATCTACGTAGATGAAAGTATGTTGTATGTTGATAATAAGAACATTGTAGACTGTGGCCTAAATACGCTTCCATATGGATGTTCCTGACGTAGATGAAAGTATGTTGTATGTTGATAATAAGAACATTTCAGACTGTGGCCTAAATACGCTTCCATATGGATGTTCCTGACGTAGATGAAAGTATGTTGTATGTTGATAATAAGAACATTTTAGACTGTGGCCTAAATACGCTTCCATATGGATGTTCCTGACGTAGATGAAAGTATGTTGTATGTTGATAATAAGAACATTTTAGACTATGGCCTAAATACGCTTCAATATGGATGTTCCTGACGTAGATGAAAGTATGTTGTATGTTGATAATAAGAACATTTTAGACTGTGGCCTAAATACGCTTCCATATGGATGTTCCTGACGTAGATGAAAGTATGTTGTATGTTGATAATAAGAACATTTTAGACTGTGGCCTAAATACGCTTCCATATGGATGTTCCTGACGTAGATGAAAGTATGTTGTATGTTGATAATAAGAACATTTCAGACTGTGGCCTAAATACGCTTCCATATGGATGTTCCTGACGTAGATGAAAGTATGTTGTATGTTGATAATAAGAACATTTTAGACTGTGGCCTAAATACGCTTCCATATGGATGTTCCTGACGTAGATGAAAGTATGTTGTATGTTGATAATAAGAACATTTTAGACTGTGGCCTAAATACGCTTCCATATGGATGTTCCTGACGTAGATGAAAGTATGTTGTATGTTGATAATAAGAACATTTTAGACTATGGCCTAAATACGCTTCCATATGGATGTTCCTGACGTAGATGAAAGTATGTTGTATGTTGATAATAAGAACATTTTAGACTATGGCCTAAATACGTTCCTCCATATGGATGTTCCTGACGTAGATGAATGGAGTATGTTGTATGTTGATAATAAGAACATTTTAGACTGTGGCCTAAATACGCTTCCATATGGATGTTCCTGACGTAGATGAAAGTATGTTGTATGTTGATAATAAGAACATTTCAGACTGTGGCCTAAATACGCTTCCATATGGATGTTCCTGACGTAGATGAAAGTATGTTGTATGTTGATAATAAGAACATTTTAGACTGTGGCCTAAATACGCTTCCATATGGATGTTCCTGACGTAGATGAAAGTATGTTGTATGTTGATAATAAGAACATTTTAGACTATGGCCTAAATACGCTTCCATATGGATGTTCCTGACGATAGATGAAAGTATGTTGTATGTTGATAATAAGAACATTTTAGACTGTGGCCTAAATACGCTTCCATATGGATGTTCCTGACGTAGATGAAAGTATGTTGTATGTTGATAATAAGAACATTTTAGACTGTGGCCTAAATACGCTTCCATATGGATGTTCCTGACGTAGATGAAAGTATGTTGTATGTTGATAATAAGAACATTTTAGACTATGGCCTAAATACGCTTCCATATGGATGTTCCTGACGTAGATGAAAGTATGTTGTATGTTGATAATAAGAACATTTTAGACTATGGCCTAAATACGCTTCCATATGGATGTTCCTGACGTAGATGAAAGTATGTTGTATGTTGATGATAAGAACATTTTAGACCGTGGCCTTATTACGCTTCCATATGGATGTTCCTGACGTAGATGAAAGTATGTTCTATGTTGACAACAAGAACATTTTAGACTATGGCCTAAATACGCTTCCATATGGATGTTCCTGACGTAGATGAAAGTATGTTGTATGTTGATAATAAGAACATTTTAGACTATGGCCTAAATACGCTTCCATATGGATGTTCCTGACGTAGATGAAAGTATGTTGTATGTTGATAATAAGAACATGTTTTTAGACTATGGCCTAAATACGCTTCCATATGGATGTTCCTGACGTAGATGAAAGTATGTTGTATGTTGATAATAAGAACATTTTAGACTATGGCCTAAATACGCTTCCATATGGATGTTCCTGACGTAGATGAAAGTATGTTGTATGTTGATAATAAGAACATTTTAGACTATGGCCTAAATACGCTTCCATATGGATGTTCCTGACGTAGATGAAAGTATGTTGTATGTTGATAATAAGAACATTTCAGACTATGGCTAAATACGCTTCCATATGGATGTTCCTGACGTAGATGAAAGTATGTTGTATGTTGATAATAAGAACATTTTAGACTATGGCCTAAATACGCTTCCATATGGATGTTCCTGACGTAGATGAAAGTATGTTGTATGTTGATAATAAGAACATTTTAGACTATGGCCTAAATACGCTTCCATATGGATGTTCCTGACGTAGATGAAAGTATGTTGTATGTTGATAATAAGAACATTTTAGACTATGGCCTAGATACGCTTCCATATGGATGTTACTGAAATGAAATTTCATGATCGTAATGTGCTGTAATGTAGGTAATCCAAGTTTTTCAAAAAGTAATGTAGGAATGGAAGTACAACCCTCTGCGTGAGACACATACTGATTTCACACTGGACTAAAGCAGGCTTTTGTACATCATGCAACATTCGTAGCCGTTAAATCAGCTGATCGCACGTGACCGCGTCCTTTGGCTGGTATTGCTTCAAGGCCGCCAAGAACCTGATCCCATTAAGTTGATCTCACAACCAACATTTGATTCGTTTCAAAAGAAATATATATATATATATTTAATCACAAATCCTTATATATATAAGAACATGTCGCGCCTTTGAAAAAATATGGGTTTCTTGTAATGTTGGTTGCTTTGTTGCTTAACACCGCGCTTAGCAATATTCAAGCTATATGGCAGCGGTCTCTAAATAAACGAGTCTGGACCACAAGTGATGGGCTTCACATATTCTACCCATGTGGGGAATCGAACTAGGTCTTCGGCGTGACGAGCGAACGCTTTAACCACTAGGCTACCCCACCGCCCCTCAGGAAGGGAAACAAGTACTACGTTTTGGTACAATGTGGCCAGGAATTGAACCACCAGCGTTCTGCCATCCAAGGGTAGCCTGTCTCACAATGTTTTCCCGTACTGCCTATCCCTCTGCTGAAATGCTAAAGCCCTAAATGAAGCAAGTCTGTATTTCACCAGGTCCTGAATATCCCAACTCACTGGGACTCCTTTTCAATTTAAATGGGTATTTGTTACTATCAAAATTATGTATATTCAGAGACTAAAGGTTAGTCTACCCATAAGGGCTATGTCAGGAACTGGCATGTTTCCACTGACGCCATGGCAGACAAAACAGGAGACAGCTGAGGACTATGTACAACTTTATTTATAGTCACAAATAATGATATTGTGACGTTCTACGCATTATGTACACTTTAGACACACATTCAGATACATTTATACATATCAGGGTATCCATTAACGTAACAGAGTACAAAAAAGGCGTTTTCACCGAATATAACTGTTTGTTACAAACCTGTAAGGAACAAAACATCACTTATAGTGTGACCTTAAGGTAATAAAAGAATTCGTCATTTAGCTAACAAGGAACAGAATAAAGAGAACCAGCAGAGAATAAAGTATTATGACTAACAGGGACAGGTCTATCAAGACAGATAAGAAAACAGGTTTGTCCAGGTAGAAGACAAAACAGGTTTGTCAAAGTCAATGAGAAAATGGATTTAAGATTTGAGAAAATGGATTATCAAAATTGATGAGGAAAAAGGCTCATCAATATAAATGAGAACACAGGCTTAGCAGTGAGGGAGTGAGTTTAGTTTTACGCCGCACTCAGCAATAATCCCGCTATATGTCGGCGGTCTGTAAATAATCAAGTCTGGACCAGACAATCCTGTGATCAACAGCATGAGCATCGATCTGCGCAATTGGGAACCGATCACGTGTCAACCAAGTCAGCGAGCCTGACCACCCAATCCCGTTAGTCGCCTCTTACGACAAGCATGGGTTACTGAAGATCAATATTTTAACCCGGACCTTCACGGGTCACAGGCTTAGCATTATAAATGAGAAAGAATAAAATGAGTGAAAAAAAATAATCCAATTTTCCCATGATAAGATGCTATCCCACTGTGACAGACATCAACACATGGCTCCATATCACCATACATAAAGTCTGGGACAACATAAGATACACCTACATACGTTTTCAGAGGAAGCCTGTTAACTGTAATGACGAAATGGGAAACACAAATCAGGTTTAGTGTTGTAGGTCTATCATTTGATAACAATAGACCAGGGCCCCGTTTCACAAAGCTATCGTAGCGCTATGACTGTTGTAGGTCTGTTACAGTATAGGAGGTACGATAGATGTATCGCTACGCTAGTGTTGTAAAACGGGGCCCTGCTGATGAAATGATGCATCTTGGTACTTCTGTTAATGGGTTAAATCTTCATCTTGATTATGAGATTAAAGAATAATTGCAACATTAGACTTAACAAAATGAGGATTCATGTTTTCGGATCACATCCGTTGATAAGGTTTCGTCAGCATCTGTATTTGTCATTCATACCTTCATCCTCACACACATTCCTCCAGCAAACAAACAAATGGATACAACTGCATCTCACACATCAAATCCTTCTCCTGAAGCAGGACACCAAGATGGCAGGACAACTATGATAGCTAAACACGAGGAACAGCTATTTTGTTGTAGCTCAGTCTTGCATGATGTTAGCTACATTAAACACAGTTGTAGCTCAGCCCTGAATGATGTTAGCTACACTAAACACAGTTGTAGCCCAGCCTTGAATGACGTTAAACAGTTGTAGCTCAGCGTTAGCTACATTAAAACAGTTGTAGCCCAGCCTTGAATGATAGCTACATGAAACAGTTGTAGCTCAGCCTTGAATGATGTTAGCTTAAACACAGTTGTAGCCCAGCCTTGAATGATGTTAGCTACATTAAACACAGTTGTAGCCCAGCCTTGAATGATGTTAGCTACAATAAACAGTTGTAGCTCAGCCCTGAATGATGTTAGCTACATTAAACAGTTGTAGCTCAGCCTTGAATGATGTTAGCTACATTAAACACAGTTGTAGCTCAGCCTTGAATGTTAGCTACATTAAACACAGTTGTAGCCCAGCCTTGAATGTAGCTACATTAAACACAGTTGTAGCTCAGCCTTGAATGATGTTAGCTACATTAAACACAGTTGTAGCTCAGCCTTGAATGATGTTAGCTACATTAAACACAGTTGTAGCTCAGCCTTGAATGATGTTAGCTACATTAAACACAGTTGTAGCTCAGCCTTGAATGATGTTAGCTACATTAAACACAGTTGTAGCTCCAGCCTTGAATGATGTTAGCTACAATTAAACACAGTTGTAGCTCAGCCTTGAATGATGTTAGCTACATCAGTACCAGTTGCTGTTAGTATCTGAAAGCTGTTTGCTACATCAGGAACAGCTGTAGCTTGGACCTGGATGTCAGCCAAGTCAGGAACAGCAGCAACTAGGATCTGAATGATGTTAGCTACATCAGGAACAACTGTAGCTATTGTTTGAATGATGTTAGCTATATCAGGAAAGTTTGTATCTATTACCTGAATGATGTTAGCTTTATCAGGAAAGTTTGTATCTATTACCTCCATGATGTTAGCTGTAACAGACAATACTACCCACTGAGTTAGAAACAACCGAGTATATATAGAAATAATATATTCACTTGTGCATCTATAACTTAACACACACTACTGTACTGTTTACATCTGTTGGATGGGACTATTGAATCTTATTGTGATGTAAGACAGGAAAGACACACAATGTAAAAAATTAAAATTGTTGACATTTTGGGATATTTGGATAGACAGTGGTCATAATCAGTGCATTTTCTAAAGATGAGATTCAGAATTAATTACATTTGTGTCAAACTGATTTTACAAAACTCCTGTAAACACTCTTGATCACCCTAGCTCTCCCTGGAAAAAACCAAAACTTTACACTTATCTTATTGAATCAGTATGATACACTATTAATCTCTGCATTTCGTAGAGATGCAACTTTAAAATGAGGCTGTCTTACGATACACATCCCCATAATATGGGCGTGGTACAATTTGTATCCTTGATACACCACTTCGGTTCCCTAAGTTCATATTCTCTCACTTCTTGCAGATGAATGACAACCCTGAATAATTTGTTTTCAAGTTTCAGATAGCAAAGATGGGATGATGTAGGGGACAAACTTAACCTTTGGGGCAATGTGCAGATTCTGCTATTTATAGCAAACCAGGAAATTACATAGAATCTGCATACACTGCTTCTTGAACAGTGTTTGTTATTATTAACATTACATCAACATAACTTGTAACGTAATGAATTGTATGTATTGCAACACACTATTTGTAAATCGAAATGTTGTAATGTGAACATTCTATTGCGATACAATACTGCAGGGGTGGAAATAACCCATTGCCCGACGCCCGAGTCCAGTGTTTTTTTCTGTCGGGCAAGCAAATTTGTATATCACACTGTACCGGTGTCCAGTTGACTTTCCAATATTAATTATGTTGTTTATTTGAAAAATAAACAAGAAAACGGCCGGTATAGTGGAAAAATGATCAGGGAAAGTGATTTTACATGTGTCACTGTACCGGAGTACACTAGCAATTTTAAAGTTATTCCATCCCCTGTACTGTAATCCTGTATCATTACACCACTAGTAAATGGAGAATGACAAACAGCTATACCACAGAAACGTCCCTGCCAGTAAGAATGCACCTTTTAACACCATTTACCAGTAGTATATAATATCTTAGGACACATTCTCCTGCTATAACTCTGGTAGTGTATTTGCAGCTCCTTTCATCAAAAATATAACTGAAATTGATTTATATACTATTCACACTTAGCTAAAGATCAAATCATGGATTCAACAGAAAACTATGATGTGAGGTCAAATTTGGTTTAAATACCTAAGCTTATTGTAGGCATAGGTTTCAGTACGTCACTGCATCTTGTGGATCCCATACCTGCTATTGACAGGTGTTGTGCACTTGTCAATTACTCGTTCCATGATTTGAAAATGATTGATTGGTGCAATGAAAACTATTTTCACGGTTACTCATGTATCAAGTGCATAAGGTTAGAATAAAGTGGCTGTTTGCCTAAAGTGGGGTTACCATATTATCATTTATCCAGTTTCAAATTATAAATCTACCTTTAAGTAAAGTTGTGAATTTTTGTGATCCTTATCAAAGTGTGAGTAGTATATTATTCACAATATCAAACAATAGTCCCTCACTGAATACTGTGATTAATACTGTGTGATAAGATTACGCCTGGGAGAAAAGTAAATTCCAATGGAATGATAATAATATTAACATCCACCTGAACTCCGAGTTATGTTTGAGGCAGTAGACACACAAGGTTTTGGCACAGTCAAAATGGTTTGTAATTTTGTTTGGTTCGTCCTTCTGACGAACAAGACACAACTGACTCAAGTCATGTGTAGCTAACAGAACCAAGCTCTGTGGCAACCATACATTGGCATCACCACCTCCCATCTCGTTCATTACCCATGTATACAGACAAGTCATGTGTAGCTAACAGAACCAAGCTCTGTGGCAACCAGATATTGGCACCACTACCTCCCACATCGTTCATTACCCATGTCTACAGACACCTTAGTCACTAGGGCTTTAACCAAGATTCCGCACAAACAGCCATGTAAGGAAATGTAGAATTATTTCTTGCTTTGTTCAAACTTGGGACTTCTTGAAGTTCGCTTTCCCTTAAATTCAGAGGTTTTTTTAACATTACATTCAATCATGTAAAACTATCTATCAAAGCCTCATCCTCTTTACTGGTAACCAGTTATCAGTGATACATCTACTAATAATGCCATCATATTACATATAAGTATATGATTTGGGAATGTTTTAATTCCACTTTGGGAATTTTTCATCATGTTATATAGTAAACACTAATGTATTGGCCTTCTTTAAGCAACGTGCATATCACGGACAATTTTGAGCAAAATTACAAATTTTCCCCCAAAATTGGAAGTCAAAGAAACTTTGTTTGAAATCCTGAATAAATCTGGGTCAGGAACTGGGTCAAATGTCTTTTTCCACAAAGGAGAATGGGACCGTAAACTTTTTCCAAGATGTCTTAATGACATACTCTATGTGCATACATACTACTCCAAAATATTGCTAAGGACCAACTGATTTCTTTTTTAGAAAAACAAGATATCTGTTATGCCATTTCAGAATGACTAAAATAATATTAAATAAGCAGGTAATCTTGGACTATGTTTTTAGTGGTACACACATGAATAGCCATTCATTAATCCAAAAAGCCACAATGATCACAATCTGCATCCAATGGAATCCATTCCACATCCCAGTAGCACTGTTTGACCTTGACCTTCAAAACTAGGGATCCACAAGAACCCCAATTACTAACTTTTAAGGGTCCTCACTGTATGACGGTCCTGAAAACCAAGGAAATGGTGTCCGCACACTTTACTGTAAGATCTATTAACTTAATTACAGCTATTTTATATTTGTCCAGAATTTGGGAGAGTGAAGATTATTATGCATCCTTGGCACGCAATAATATTTTCTTCTAAGTCCACTCTATACATTTGTGCGTCCTGGACCCTCACTTTTCTGTTGAGTAAACCCTGCAGTACTGGTATCTAACCAAGGCCGATCTGTACATCAACAATGTCCTTCATCACCCATCAGGGGATTCAGCAGAAGACGTAGCCAAGGACACCCGGTGTCCATTATGAGCACCATGTGTGAGGGAGGTGTTGGGGAGGGGCTCACGCTGGGTAGGAAGTAGCAGCAAAACGATGCAGGTTGCCCATCTGTGACAGTCCACTCTGGATGTGATTGATGTGGATCTCAACATTGTTCTGGAAGGAGCTGTAACGATGAGGCGTTGAATGATGAAATGTCTTGAACCATATCAGTTAACATGGATAAAGAATCTGATATTTCACATTATCTACTCAGTCTTACTTCAGGCTGAAACCGAAGTCTGATAAAAACTTGTTCGGACGGGTACAAATCCATTAAACTGACCACAAGGCTAGGCATTATGGGAATGGTTGAAGTGCAATGTCAAATCAAGGTCAATATCTAAAATATCTGAGTACGCATGTTGAGTCCTTCATGTACCAAATTTCCAGCACATTTTCAACATGAACAGCAAAATAATTACCATAAATACTTTTCTAAAACACTGCCATGGTGGAAAAAGCATGTGGCTTTAAACGAAATTGCCTTATTAATTTCTGAGAAAAGAATGGACGTCAGACAAGCATGACATAAGCCCAACTGACTTTCAGTGAAGGGAGCTAAAATTTGATGAGGTTATTCAAACAAACTAAGCCAGGAAATTCTGGACAAAACAATTATTACTGCAAGATTCCAAACTAGGAATGCACTGTTATCAGTGTGACGTCAGTCAGCACATTGTTCTAAATACAATGACGTCATCAACTTTTCAAGATGTCACAGTTAATGGAACTTTGTGCAAACTTAAGCCTGAGCTGATTTCTCCACTTGAGATAATGAAACCTACATTTTTATACATTTTTTCAGAAAACATTAATGTGGGTAATATAGAAAATGACCTACTCTCAACTTGGAATAACAGATTATCGGCTTGTTAACAGCTCATTTCATGCCCATAATATATATACTTGCCTCCTTTATGTACGACTAAAACATCGTTCATGGTAAATAATCTGGACAAGCTAATAGCTACTGCTTAGGTGAATGACAGCTACATTTGGAGATAAACATTGATTATCAAATGGACTAACAATTATGATCAGTCATTCCAAGTTTGATGGATGTTAAAAGACAATCATGGCCTTTCATACCATAATGATTAAAAACTTGATGCCACAGAATCCATGGTTCCTCCTATTCGGAGGTCATTCTCTAAATGTCCACAATCGTAATACCATAGCTTACTTGATGTTATTTCCGTCCAATGTAACCTTGATATCCTGTAAGCTGTCTTGAAGAGATTTGAACTCAAATGAGTTGAAATCATTCTCAGAGAATGTCTGCAAGGAATAGATAAAGCCAGATAATTATCAGATTTGCAACATTTCTAAAACATTAGTTGGGAGGCTTTAACGTTTTTATATAGTTTATGAAACAGACAGTTCAAGGCATCTGTGTACAGTAAAACCCTGCTAATCTGGAATAATTCAAACAAACAAATTTCTTGATATGAGAACCACTTTTCAATCTTATTATCTCCCCCTACTCTCTCGTAATCTGTATGAAGCTGACTAACACACACAGACATGCATTTTTCATTCATGTCAAATTTAAAAATGAGAACAAAATATTGATAATCAATAAATATGAGTGAGTTTATCTAAGTCACATTTGAAGTATTTCAGCCATATCAGGATTATGTAATCTATATATGAATAACAAAATGTTGATAATTAATCCACATTCTTGAATATTTAAAACAGATTCTCACTATGTGTTGCCTTTCTTATTGACACTTTGCGTGTAACAAGATCTGCCAGTGATCAGACAGCCTTCAAGAGTGAGTCCGTGAGTGAGTGAGAACGTGTGTGTTGACCAGGAGTAGAATTATAGAGCAATAATTCTGAGCAATTTTTCAATACTTAAGTTTTGTCACAAATTGAACTGGATAAAACCGAAATAGTAAACATTACTAATAGTTTGAGCAGGACTAGCCCTCTGGACTAGTCTTCAAAAAATCTGTGAATTTCCATGGCTGTCTAGGCAAAGAACTCAGGTGAGGTGAAATTGGGTTTAAACGTCGTGCTTGAGAATATTTCGCTCATATGACGACGTGCATGCGTGTGTATGTGTATATGCGGCTGCTTGTACTAGCCCAGACTTAAGCTGGTTTTATAGTGCAAACCCACTGAGATACCATGCCGCAGTGAAGCATGAATACCCCACTCAGACACATTATACTGACTCCGAGCCGACCAGTCCTTGTTGTACCCATTAATGCCAAGCGCCAGGCAGGGACCAACAAGTACCATATTTTAACGTCTTTTGGTATGACGCGGTCGGGGATCGAACCCGCGACCTTCTGCTCTCCGGGCGGACGCTCTAACCACTACACCACAGAGGTGGTCGCAAAGAACTCAAAAACATTCTGGCACATCCTGCATGCATACGATGAAGGACAGAGGACATTGCATCCCTCCAAGTGTTTGATTGACTCAAAGGGCGTGGGGGTAGCCTAGGGGTAAACAGTGTTCGCCCTTCACGCTAAAGACAGAGGAAGACCCAAGGTTTGATTCCCACGTGGGTACAATGTGTGAGGAGCCCATTTCAGGTGTCCCCTGCCTATCATATTGCAGGAATATTGCTAAAAGAGGAGTAAAACTAAACTCATTCACCAATTCCTTGACTCAATAGCTAGAGACTCCAGCAAAGAAGACATTGTTTCTCTGGATACTCACCCTGACTTGTAACATGAGGGCCGTCAGGTTGGCCACCAAACTCAGTATCCTCTCATTCTTGGCCGTCTTTTTATTGTGGAACATACTCTGAAAACATAATGTTATGTTGTCCAAGAATTGTTTTTATTATCTTTAGATTATCAAATATGATTAAAGACAAATGTAGAAAGGATTATTATGTTATCTGTAGTGAGCGATTTGAAACACTGATTTGAGACATGTTTTTCAAATTAAGTTCAAATGTCTGACATTTTACTCTCAAAATCATCATGATAGTCAATCCTGGAACTGTAAATAACAGTAACAGACAAATATGAAACAGTAAACACAACCTTGCATAAAACTGTAGAATATCAACAGAACATGACAAATATTTGCATAACAGACATGAAAAACCTTTTCAGCAGGCTTAACTATAAGAGCTATCTCAAACACATGTTGTTGGGGGACCACAGATAATATGTTAGACATTGATTCATGATTCCCTCAATTGAGTTCCCAGACTCAATTATTTACAGACCATCGCCATACAGCTGTAATATTGCTGAGTGTGGCGTTAATCTATGACATGTACATGAAACTGTCGAATGTAACAACAGATTTTCTTTCCTTACTGTAAATAAGCCAGGGCTTTTGTCGAGGAAAGATGTCAAGGTCAAATTTGTTTTAACTGATTGTGGCAGACAAGGCAGATTAATGGCCGCAAACATTTGCTTTGAAATTGCTCTTATGACAATGAATCTGGGGAACAGGAAATAACACGTCACTAGTGAGAAACATACCGCAGATGTCTGATTACAATCCTGGAAATACATTGACACTCATCATGCAAAGAAGGTGAATAGTATCAACAATAGACAATAGAATGGTGCTCAACAGCCATGGCAACAATCAGCTTTCATACCCATAATGGTAGCTATTTCATCAGTATTCAATGTGTGAATATGTACATACTAGTCATGCTTCAGTAACCCATGCTTGTCATTTGCAAAAGGCAACTAACATGGATTGGGTGGTCAGGCTAACCGCTGACTTGGTTGACACATGTCACTGTATCCCAATCCCAACACTAATCTGTATATAGACTGATGCTCATGCTGTTGATCACTGGACTGTCTGGTCCAGATTTGATTATTTACAGACTGTGGCCATATAGCTGGATTATTGCTAAGTGTGGCGTTAAACAACAAACCAACCAACCAATCATTCCAAATCATGCTCAAAGCACTAAGATTAGTACTCCAGTCACACTGCACCACAAGTACCCACTCATCGAACTGGCTACCATTTACTTGTAAGCAAGCAGTCACATGCTTGAGGATATACACGTGATACAAGTGCTTCAGTGTACAGCAGGACCAAATGCCCAGAAAATCTTGGTATGCTTGCTTACAATGAGGTGCATGTATGAGATGACACTGCATCTGTACTACCTGTATCTGGCTACAGACAGCTATACACAAGTGAATGCTGGCTAGCCTCCCACTGACCTGGCAAATCCTGCTGACCATGGCTTGTGCTTCCTCTTCACTCTTCTTCCGTATCTCGGATGGTTGGTCAATAGGCATCGACCCAGATCCAGGGACAAGCTGGATCAGACATTGAAAAGGTTGTTGTAAATTCCTCTAAACTTAACTAATTCAAGTACATTTTCACCAATATTATTGAAGAAAACGTCTTATACTGTGAGTAACAATTCATACCTCCTGACAGAACTGCTGCACTCCCACCAGGTACTCCGTCAGGTCTTTGTTGAGTTTCTCTAGCTCCAACACGATGTTGGCGTACTTCCGCTGGAACTCCACCGTGATTGGCTGCTGGTATGACTTCTGAAATACACAGCATCTTACATGAGTTAGGGAGTCTGTACCCAGTCGGGCTGGGGCTGGGGCAGAGGTCAAGGTGTAATCCTAGCCCATGATGCATGTGAACATTTGAATAAACATAAAAATTGTTTTCATAAAAGGAACGAATTAGTTTGACATCATCCCTTGCCATTCAGAGACATTTTCATGAAATTCAACATGAAACGTTAAAAAGACAAACATGGCAATGTCCCCCACCACTAAAGAAGAATGAAATATAACATGTTTACTAGTGTTTATCTTTTGGTCACATAGAAGATTACCTTTTGTGTGATGCAGTTTTTAGTCATGGTTACTTCTTAGAATCTTCTCCTAACTCTGAAGATATTTCAGGAATATAGTAGATGTGAATGTATAGATGCAGATGCACATATCCACTGTCAGTATCAGTCTGTATTAGGGCTGGGACAGGTCCACATTTTCCACCCGGGTACCCCACCCCCTATCACCCTACCCTACCCTCCCCGGATACCCATTATGTTAATTCCTGACATCAAATTAGTAAGAAATGGCAATATATTCTTCAGCTAGGAGGCTAAACTTGGGTGCAACATTTTATGAGATAGCGTGTTTACATAAGTTTGAAAAGTGGTCAAAGTGACATAGTGACCTTGAACATAACGTCAAGGTCACCCAAATCGACTGGTGTTTGTGTTATCCTCCAACAGTTCATGAGATAACGCGTTAACAAGAATCGGGACGTACGTACAGACGCTGCTGAATACATAGTCCCCGGTTCCACGTTGTGGCGGGGGACAAAAATAAATTAAATGGAATGATTCACATATTTTAATCAACTTCATTTGTCAGGATGTAAAGGCAGGGGCGTAGCTACCATTATAAAAAAGCCCGGGCTTACACATGATTGTTGCTAAAAGGTTGGGCTAGCCCTCAATACTATCTAAATATAAAGCTTTGCAACCTATCGGGCTTACACGAAGAAATTGGCTTGCTACGCGCCTGAAAGGTATAACTGAAAAAGTAAGCCTGAAACTACTCTCAGGTGACCTTTCTTCATATATTCTCATGCTGTAAAATGTTAGGAGATGCAGTTAAGAATCAACAGAAGTGTTTCTGATTCTCAACATGAAACAAGCTCTTTCGAAAATGACTTACCAGTTTTTCAGCTTGTGTGTTCATATCCTGTAACTGTCTTATCCAGTCTTTTTTAATCATCAGAATTTTTGACAACCGTGTCTGAAACACAACACATGGAGAGTCAGATCAGGCACTGCAGATACTGAAACGACCTGTCTGTCAACCAGCTAATATTACATGAAGAAACATAAATGAGACCTATCTGTTTGTGGCAGGTACAGTCAACAGTGTAGTAAAATCATACCAATGTTATAGCTGTACAGTCAGCATTAGAAATTTGTTATTTCACTTTTCATCCCATTTTGTAGCTAGTCCTGCTTGATAAAGTCTGTTTGTTTGTTGTTTAACGCCACACTCAGCAATATTCCAGCTATATGGCAGCGGTCTGTAAAGAATCAAGTCTGGACTAGACAATCCAGTGATCAACAGCATGAGAATCAATCCACACAATTGGGATACGATGACATGTGTTAACCAAGTCAGCGAGCTTGACCACCAAAATGGACCTCTTTAGGACACGATGGGTTCCTTTGGGGAGTTATCTCCCCTGTGTACACACACAGGAATTGTTATTTTCAAAAGTGAGATGTGTCTACTTACCACTAAAACTAAAAATTTGATAGGAAACCCGCCATATGTTCCTCCATCCAAACTCATCAACCGCCCCTTGAACGGTGAGCCACTCAGCAAAGGATCATCATTCTGTAACAGGACATATGTAGTCTCCTAAATATTCTAAACAAAATTTGAGCTTGCCTTGTGTGTAAGTAATACTGAGGCAGTAGAATTGGTTATGAATATGTTTGTATTATCAGCAAATTAAGAAAAAGTGTATTCAGTGTGGTTGTGTCTGGATTTGAACAGTAATCAACTGTAGTAAATGGAGATTTTCTGAATGTCTTTCTACTAGGACTAGAGTTATCCCCCCTTGTTGTATACATGCACATGGCAGGTTTGATCATCCAGGGCCCCTTTTCACAAAGCTCTCGTAAGCCTAAGATCTTGTAACTTTTCTCATAGCATTTGTACCTCCTATGTTACAGTATAGGTGGTACGAATGCTACGAGAAAAGAAACCAGATCTCAGGCTTACGAGAGCTTTGTGAAACGGGGCCCTGGTAGTTTCTGGTCTGGGACAGTTTCTAGAATGAAGATGCTGAACTGACAGATATAATGAACTGTTGTGTTTTTTTGTTCCTGACACTTGCTTATACATTAGCTGAAATGCATTTAACGAACACTTATATAATGAACTGACATGTGTAACAAACTACTGTTATAACAAACTAACATTAGCGGTCCCTCTGATTTCATTATTACCATAGTTTAAACTCGAAACATTCAGTTTCCGCAGGATTCCAACACTATTTCAATAATTACTTGAAGAGCTTTCAATCAAAGATACGATGAGGAGTTGGAGTAATGTTGTGGTCAGTGACAACTCACCAGCTGCTGCCCAGGGGAGCCAAGTCCTGGGACGAACCTTGGCGGAGAAAACATCGAATGTCGGGGCCGATGTTTTTGCTGAAACGCTGTGATGGGTATTGTTTCAGCTTCTTCGTTACTCTGGAAGATCATTTCATAAACTGTCACTACTTCACATGTGACAACAGAACTGGTGGAGGCCGTTTCCCAATCCCCTGCACGTAACGTGACGGACATTCAAACAACTGACCATGATTGACTTGTATTATACGCACATACAGAAAATCTTGATCAAGGGTAGTTTTGCAGTACTCCTATGTTATAAAAATTTAACAACCCCATTAATATTTAACTGTTACAAGGATATTCTCATTCTTTAATTAAAAAAACAACCTCCAGTCCATGAGTCCACTATCACTAGTGTTGGGAATTGGTTGAAATGTCACAATTGCAAACAATCATCGAAAAACATTGGTTAGCGTCATTTTTCAGATTTTCCTATTCAGGTTGTTATTGCAGATAAGTATAACATGATGCAACTTGCATCTTTAAAGTGATGACTAATATATCATGAACATAAACTTCCTGGAGTCTTCAAGAAATATTCAGTCATGACTTTTCAGTAAGTGAAGTGAGTTTTCTGAGAATTAAACACGTTTTCAGGCCCTGACAACTTCTAAGATATGTTCCATCGTCAAATATTTCGAACACTAAAAACAGTAGTTCCAAAATCGTTTGTGTTCGATTATGAGAAAATGTGATCGATTGCTTGGTCGTTGGGTCACTGAGACCGATCTTCGATTATTTCAATTAATCGGAACACCACTAACTATCACACAGCCATCTGTCATCAGTTGCTACAATAACATGATCAATAGTTATCATTTATAACATGCAAACTGACATATGTATCAATACACTGAATGGTGTGTAACTTACTAAGACTTCAAAGTCTGGTATTGATTGTGTCTCGAGACCAGGTCGGTCAAACGTGATTCTATATGTGCTGTCCACTGTGTCCAAAGCCTCCACTGTCCCCGTGAACAGGCCATCCTGGGGCTTCCGGAGTCGAGCTGGACACACAATCAAACAACTCCATCAACAATCTGTCTACACACCTTCCTTTCATCCAAAGAGCTTTAACCATCCTGTGATAGTGACTGATAACCATTACTTAAATCTCGTTCACCCATAAATATTGGAGAAGTAACTTCGAGCAAAAATGTGAAAATAAAAACAAATAATCAACATATTTCATGTCTCAGGTATGTGGTGCTACGTTTATGCATCGATTTATAATGAAAACAGTGTTCTGAACCTAATTTAGAAGCGAGATAGGCATATGTCGAGATATTGTTGACACAATTTTTACATCTATAGATAATCCTTTATAATTCTTCTCATCGACTACTTCTAACTATTGATCGAACCCATATCTCAAACAGTTCATTATTAATCTGTTTAAATCCAGTCAGCAACATTCCACAACTATCATGTCAGAACACAGAATATATAAGCACAGTTACAAACATCTGAGTGAGCTTGGTTTTAGGTCGCCCCAGGGAATATTTCTACAACACACGACCAGGGACACTAGAAATGGACTTCATACATTGTACCAAAGGGGAATTAAATCAAAGTCATCATCTAACCACCAGCTCACAAGCTATGACAACCCAAAGTTGTTTACTCAGCTCTTGCTACAGGTCTACAGGGACATATCCTGAACGGGAATCCCAACAGGAAACAAGCAGATAAAGTTTTTATAAACTAATTTATCAGGAAATTTAGTCCAGCTTTTGAGAGACAAACCTGTGACTTTGGTTCCTATGACTAGATGTAGAGGTATTTCATCGGGAAGATCTTTGAGGCTGCTAAATTCATTCAGCTTCCTCTGCTGCAGAAGTCGAATCTTTTCTCTCCGTTCAGCCAGGGCTGCTCTCTCTTCTCTGAAGAACGCTGGAGAACACCTGTCAGGGAACATCACATCAGGTGACTGAGTTGGTTTAATGCTGCATTTGTCAGTATAAAAGCAGGATACAATTCATTGAACTCTGTACTTAGGTTTCTTTAGCTCAGTATGAATCTATATGCCTTCAGTTACTTGACAACATTGAATACTACGTGCATGACAACATATCAAAGAAATCAGTCACATTCAACTTTTAATCTGGAATATTCCTTTCACAATTTGATCTATGACAATAAGAACTTTGCTTAATCTTATTTTTAGCAGAATGTCTTTTACATCAAATAGTTCGGAATCCTAGAAACAGACATTTTTTACATATACTTCTTAATGTGTATTTGTCACTGCAATCAAAGAAACAATTTATTAAACCCAGTATTAAAGCCCCTTCCTGGTCAGTGAAATACAAGTCAACTCCACGAAGCCACATCAGAAGTAATAACTCTTCAACAAAAATAGGTTCTGTTTAACTCCAGCGTGAGAAATTTTACTGACATTCATTGCATGCTTGGGGATAAATATCAGCCTGTGAGCAGGTCCAGATAAATCCCTGGCAAACCTTCGGACATCTGACCAACTCACCTCCGGGGTTTGCCCATGAGACGCCTGATCTTACACCACTCGACTCTGCGTAGCTTTCTTTGTCTTCAGCTGAGGGAAGGACTCACGAAGACAGATGCAGAAGTCATTCTCTCCCAGAAACAGGGGGCTGATAACATACAGTAGAACTGTCATTATGGCACAATAAATCAGTTGAAACATGTTGTCAGGTACCTTAGTTTTTATATCTTATCTTAAAGATCACATATACTCTAGGGGGGTACAAATATATAAATCATTTATTGGCATTGTTATAAATGAAACCCTGTCATCAAAACTACTCATTTTGACGTTTAATTAACTAAAATCGACCTTTTTGACAACAGTGCACAATTCTCACCCGTGAATGAAATTTCAACCAATAAGAGGGGCGCATCTCCGTGACGTAATGTGAGGTATGCATGTGAGGGGTGCTGTAGAATTTGGTGTTCCGCATAAGACTAACCACAAGTCTTTCATATGTAATGGTTAAAAGAGTACAAAAAACAAAAGTTTATTTGTTCTTTAAAACAAAAAGCAAATATGTATATGAACTGTCGACTGATGTAATTCACACCTTGACTAATACCAACATGGACATGTACTTGGAATGGCGACGTTGATCAGTGACATGATTACAACCATCTGTGATTGTTGCCATGATTGTCTGGTAGGACTACACATGTGAGACTGACAACCATCCCCGTCCCCTGCTCAGCTAGCATACCACTTAATTAGCTCGATCCCCATCTGATTCAGACACTTGTGTGTCATTTCACTGTACTCAGCTGGTACAAGGGCCACAGACTGGGAATTTCTCTTAGCAAGCATGGCCATTATTGTTAATAAGCTTGAGTCTGAACCAGACAATCCAGTGATTGACATCATGAGCATGGACTGCAGGCTTCAACCAAGTCAAAGTCTGATCAACTGATCTTGTGAATTGCTGCTTACTACTTGTCTGTAGGTAGATGGGAGGATACAATGAGTGAGTGAGTTTTATTTTACGCAATATTCCAGCTATATGGCAGCGGTCTGTAAAATAATCGAGTCTGGACAAGACAATCCAGTGATCAACAGCATGAGCATCGATCTGCGCAAATGGGAACCGATGACATGTGCCAACCAAGCCAGCGAGCCTGACCACCCGATCCCGTTAGTCGCCTCTTACGATAAGCATGGGTTAGTGAAGGTTCATTCTAACCCGGACCCCACGGGTGAGGATACATTGATGTAAGGCAAGGTGTTTGTACATGTACATGAGGTGCACAGGAGGAAAATCTAACCATCAATACAGAAACTCGTACAAACCTGTAGAGGTTAGTGATTCTTTGAATAAAGTCCTCCTTGGGGTACATATAAGCATTAAAATGTCCATTTTAAACTCCTACAACAGTTGTAACAATATTTTAACAAGTGTTTGCCACTAATATGGCAATGTTCCCCGTCGATAAGGAAGAACGAAATATTTACATCAGAGCTCCAGATAAGAATTAGGTCATGTGGGTACTGTACCCACTGTATTTTTTTGGAGTGGGTATTATGAATGTTGAGTGGGTATTTCATTTTCCGTTACCCACTGCTTTCCAATATGTGCGTATTTCAGTCATTTCACTCACCTAAGTATTACGTCATTGAGTAAGTTTACTAAGCAGGTATGCTCTGCCTCATGTCATACCTAATCAAAACCTAAATATAATGGAAATGATTTCATAAAAAATCACTCATCCTATACTGACAAAAATAAAATACTTGTCCTATACTAACAGTACAACTTGATAGCAATCGACGTCTTTTTCATTACGCAAGCGATTTTTATAAATATACTCTGCACGCATTTGTTTTAAACTTTTTGCGTATCTTACATTTTAAATGCGTAAATGGTACGTAACAATTATTTTTTCAATGCGTAATTGGAAATTTTCTATGCGTATTTTACCCGGTTGCGCAGCTTATCTGGGCCTCTTTTTACATATTTACTACTTTTTATATTTTTGTCAGATAAAAGATGACTCGAATGACTGGTGTCTGTATAATCACCCAATGTAGGCTGTCAACATAATTGAAAACATTGGGTACAACAGTTCATGAGATATCGCGTTAACAAAAGTTTAAAAAGTGGTCAAAGTGGCATGGTGACCTTGAAGATACGGTCAAGGTCACCAATATCGACTGCTTTCTGCGTAATCCCCCAGTGTAGGCTGTCACCAAATTTGAAGACATTGTGTACAACAGTACATGAGATATCACGTTAACAACAATCGGGACGTACGTACAGACGTTCCGTGTTGCAGCGGGGGATAATAACAATATTTACAAAAGAAAAAGCTCGTTTTTGTCTTGTGAGACCACCCCTACAGGTCCCCTCAGGGCCCCCTACAGCCAACAGCAGGTAACTCTCACTGTCTACCTCGTACCTCACTTTTCATGCTGAACGTATCAAACAGAATGTGGGGAGGCGGGTGGCCGTACCTCAAGGAGGACTTTCTTCAAAGAATCAGTAACCTCTACAGGTTAGTACGATTCTTTTTCAGAAGAAGTCCTCCTTGGGGTACATATAAGCATAAGATTGTGAGTTGGGAATGGCATTCTGTCTGGCAACAACTAGACCCGTGTTCAAGTGAAATCTACAACCAAAGTGGTGATAGAAAAAACACACTTACCCAGTCACCTGACTGCTGATGTCAATCGTGGCTTGGGTGGGGAATAGAGAGCCTAAGCTTACATGTCGATTGGCTAATCTGTTGTGACATATACCCCACCCTCCAACCATCAAAATGGAGAAGAATGTATGGTGACATGCCAAACTATACCTGTACATAATATCCCAAACCAGGGAAGCGTGGCGAGAAGAATAAATGATAGGGAAAGCATAAAAACTGCTTAAATCCAAGAAAAATCTAAATATTTTTTATATTTGTATACTTATCCTGCACTACTTACTTCCTGCACTTATTGCTTACGGCTCGAAAAGCGTGGCTTGCCAGACGATGTCAAAAAGACGTAGAACTGCAATCACTTCCTGGTCTCGGCTGCTTACTCGTCTGCGCATGCGTCACCGGAAGGTGACGTCAGCCACCTCAGATTATTGCTTAGAAATCCCACAGATGGCAAAACTAAGCGGGGAGGTAGCTGATAGCACAGGGTGGGACCTTATCATAAGTAGTGCAGGATAAGTATACAAATATAAAAATATTTAGATTTTACTAAATTTTTAACTAATCCTGCACTACTTACTTCCTGCACTTTATCCGACAGGCTGGAAGGTGGGCGTGTCATCTGAGGGATCGCACCGCTACGTAATAGCAGCCAGCTCAATCCGTAAATCCCGTTGCTCGGAAGCGTTGATAACGCGCCTATAACAGAGAGCCGAATTAGCGAGTGACGATCAGGTAGCGGTAATTCGCAAATAAGACTGCGTCTTAAATGAAAAGAACCCACTAATTTTAAAGCTGGCGAAGCTTAAGGAATGCAGCAAAAGCATGGACTTGAAAAACAAGGATAACTCCTTAACTGACATACCTAGTTGTTTGTGAAGAAAAACAACTCATTCCCCTACATGGTGGTCCGTGGAAGGAAACACAAGGCAGGAGGGTCACTTTCTTGAGGGAATGGCGAGTTGCTGAGCAACCACCAATGGTCCGAAGCTATGGACATCATTAACGTCCTTGACAGCCATGTCCGCTAAGTAATGACTGGCAAACACTGTGTCCGACCGCCAAAACAACCTTGCATAATGGATGACACAGTGCAATTACTGTGAAGTGCCATAGTCGAGCAAGTGCTCGAATCTCGTGGGGATGAGAGGGGCGTAGGAGGTCCAGCCCAGCCAGCGCTTTACTCGCCTGAAGAATGGTTGTTCTTAACCATAAGGCAATAGTGTTTTTGCTGACATCTGACTGCGGCGCCCGGGACAGTGGAAGAAATAACCGTTTCCTTGTACCACGAGCGCCTTTGGGTGCGATCAATGTAAGTTTTGAGTTTACGAATCGGACATAACAGTAATTCCGCGATCGTCTTCAGAGCCAACAATAGATGATAATGGCGGGATGGAAAACTGGCGATCAGGTTGACCTGGTAGTTGGTTTTAGCGATGAAATCCCAACACAGACCTAAGTGCACAGAACCATGGCGTATAATGACGGCGTTCAAACTTGATCCTAGTCCGTCAAGGCGTGAACCTCACTCACTCTAGCCGCAGTCGCTAATGACAACAGAAATGCCGTCTTCCTGGATAAATCAGCGAGGGAAGCATTATCAAGAGGTTCATAAGGTGCACACCGGAGATGGTCTAAAACAGTGTTGAGATTCCATGCCCGGCGATCGAAACTTCAACTTCTGGTCTTCAAGTCGGAATGAGCGAAGCATGGCCTGTAATTCTGGGATTTTGGAAATCCTTCTGTCAGTGGGAATCGCTAAAAACAGAGCTAATTGCCGCCAAATACGTGGCAATGGTGCCTCCCTTCAGGCGCCTGGGCGTTGGGAGATAAAGTAAGAAATCTGCTATGAACTGAGGAGACACAGTCAGCGGATCCTGCTTCTTGGTAACACAAAAGCGTTCAAGCGACTGCCACTTGTCGCCATACAAATGTCTAGTAGAAGTTCTGTGCGCCGCCGCAATGGCTTTGGCTGCTCTAGCCGAAAACCCTTAGCACTCAGTGCTTTCTGCAAATGGTCCATCGCGTGCAGATTGAATCGGTCTGGAGCGGATCACGGAAGACGGCTGTGAGGGTGCGAAGCGAAGCGCTCCTCCACGTGGGTAGAGGGAAGGGATCTCCTACCACTAGACTTTGTAGAGCGGGAAACCAGTTCCTGGCTGGCCACCAAGTAGCGACCAAAATTAGTCGTAAGCAAGTTGTCTCCTTGACTTTTGCGAGAACTTTGGGTAATAGAACTGGTGGCGGGGAACCCATATCTGGCGTGAAGTCCCTCCCATGATAGGCTGAGAGCATCCACCGCCCAAGCCGCTGGATCTGGGACTGGGACACATACACTGGCAGTTGATGGTTTTGGCTGGTGGCAAACAGATCTATGTTTGGAGAACCCAGTGCGTGACTTAAGAGAGTGAAGGCCTCCTTGTGTAGCATCCACTCCGTGGGAGCAACTCTGTCGGGTCTCGAGAGGCGTCTG